AATATCTTACGCACTCAGTTTCTGCTTTGTGTTTTCCATGCCTTTTGAATCGATCAAGAAAATATGTCACTGCTCAGAGGTTGAAGGTAGGTACCTAAGCGGGAAAAGGGGTGTTACATATTTGATCTTTCTATAAATGAATGTAGAATAAGAATAAATGCAATCCGCTAAATATAAGCTGCAAGGAGTGCATCGAACTCAACAATCAGCTTTATTTTCATCGCTTTCATGGAAACAATTTAGCCTCATGCTTAAATGATGGGTAAAAACTTTGCAATATTCCACTCATATGATGCCCAAATGTACGACACACAATTCATTTGAAGCCCATGCGTCGTTTATTATCAAAACTACATAACATGAAGAGCATCATAAACTTGGCAGGCTTTTTCTATTTGGTGGCCAGAACTCCATTACCACATTTCTGGATTTTGTATTTGCTGCGCAGCATTTGTCGACATGGCGGAGGCCGAACACCTGAAAGTAGATCGAGCTGGCATGTGAATCTGGCAACTCCTATGTAAACGGGGCTTATTTAATCCCCATTTGATCCTTTGGTTCCTCAGGAATTTTAGTAGTTCTTTTTAGTAGGTTCCCCAGCTTTCGAATGAATGGTGCGTTAGTTTGCTATTTTTCTATTAAATATCACATCGATTTACTTTATCTAAGGATTTATCACTAATATCAACATAAAGCGTAAGCACAATTATAAAATTATGAAATTATTAAATACTAGTACAATAGTTAAAAAAAGATACTGAGTTGCCAGGTTACAAAGAATATATTCATTTATGGCGCACGACAGACATTTAGAAAGCAGCGCCCTGTTTTATTGCACGCTGCTAGCCGCTTCCATTGGGTTTTGCAGGCCGACGTCATTGGTCGTTACACGTATGATGTCACGCGACTTGTGGCCTGTCACGGCTCTTTAATGATCTCCACTAAATGAATGCAACAATGGCCTTTTAAGTTGATCTCTGTGGCCATCTGTCTATGGAGCGACCAATATGAAAGTTGGGTGAATTTACCGGGGTTACATGACTATGAGCAAGCAAATGTGTATCAGGAATGGATTTAGGTGGAGAATTGCGCTGGACCATGAGTGCTCGAACGCTCCCAATTCCACGCCGGTTTGGCTTTGGAGCCGAGACAGACGATGCGGGTCAAGGTCACCGCTGGGGTAACGGTGGATTGGCTGCGCCCGAGCACCCGTAACGCGGCACAATTCTCCATCTATGGATTTTCCTATTCGCTCAGCATTGTGATAGACGTTCGTAATAGCATTTACTCTGCTCATGTACCTATCCCCGGTTATTTAAAATAAGTTTTTGTGGGGGAATATCACGGCTTTAGGTACTCGGTGGCCCTATTCACGACTTTCAAAGAATGCTCCGATAGCTAAACACCGCACAGACCTACTGCATTAGTGAATCTGACAGAAGGTCTGTGGAATTACATCCCCCCTCACCACACCCCTAAAAACTCATCCAGTGTCCAAAACCACTTTTATCGACTCGCAAAAAACACACACACACACACATACACACACAAAGCATGGCGCATGTCAGCTCTCAGTTAATTTATCATTGTCTTTACCATGGTTCAATTGCATTGCGCGATTTAAAGCACGTGAGTGCCTATATAGTATATATGCAGAAAATAATATCTACAGCAAAACATCCAAAATTACAAAGGCTACAGTGCCTAAAAAGTAGGTTCATCAAGGAAGCCCATTTTTACTTGCGTTGTGTTCCCAACCATGCGATTCCAACGCGGGCTATTCGCAACGTCTGTTAAGGCACGTTAACAACTGACAAGCCGCCACCGCTGCCACTTATTCATAGATGGTTGATATCGCAGCTTGGGCGTCAGCAGCGCGGCCCACAACGCGTCGGCGCCAGCGCAAGCAGCTGTTGGCACTCGGCAGCCGGTGTTGCGACTTAACGGCCGGCCGGCCCCATGAAGGAGAAGCTCTTGGTGAAGCTTTGTGATCGCCTCATAGCCGCTGAAGTAGACAGCACGGCGTCCCGTTCAAAACTGTATTGCTTCCCGGCCGCTCACCCGAGGTCGTGTCACAGATACTGCCCGAGGCACCGGGCGAGTCCACTGGGACGAGAGGGGTGACCAGTATGCGAGGGAGAGAGGGAGAGGGAGGGAGGCCGCCGGTCGAGGCGAGAGCCGGTTATGACATCCCTCCACCCCGCAATATAACATAATCACAACTAACGTAACAACAAAACTCTGGTCACTTTTAACGATATCAGGCACGGAGCGCTCACAAACTTCACTCACACAACAGCCGGTCCGGCCGCCGTAACGTCTCTCGCGGACGCAGATTGTATCGCGGCGGTCCGCCCGCCGGGACCGACGGTGACCCGTCCGGAGCAGCCGGGGCCACCGCCCGAGCCGTCAGTCCGGCCCTCGGCGGTACGTCGGCATCAAACAGGTCCCGCCGCGTCCGATCCAGGTCCAGCGCCCGTCCAGCGGTCGGCGGTGGTACGTCGGCCATAGTCCGGCGCGGCCGGACCCGATCCAGATGCCTCCAGATCACTCTCCCATCCTGCAACTGAACAGCCAGTTTTACTCCCTTCCGCACCACTATCACACCCGGCAGCCATTTACAACCAGCAGCACTTTGTACACGATCAACGGCTGACACAAACACAGCATCGCCTACGCACACGGAACGTTCATAGGAGCCCCTGTCGGCGTACAGTTTTTGGTTTGTCCTGGTTTTTCCTCACTCTACCACTCAGATCAGGCCTGACCAGATCCAGACCAGGTTCGCACCGTCCTGCCAAGGAATAATGCCGCTGGGGACACCTGGGTGGTTGTGTGCGGTGTTGTGCGATAGCGCAGCAGGAAACGCGCTATTTTGGTGTGAATCGTGCCCGATGTTTGCTTTTTAATACTGTTTTTCAATGTCTGAACACTACGCTCCGCCAAACCGTTAGATTTCGGAGACAGTGCAGGAGAAGTCAAATGGTGAATGCCATTCGAGCGACAGAACGTCTGAAAAGTCTCAGACAAGAAACATTGTGCGTTGTCAGACACAAGAGTCTTTGGCAGCCCCCACGAGGAAAATGAAGCGCGCAAATGTTCTATGGTGGTCTCAGACGTGCATGATCGCGACGGAAACACGTCCATCCACTTTGAATGAGCGTCAATGACAATTAATACCCACCAGCCATCAATTGGACCACAATAATCTACGTGCACACGCTCCCATGGTTTTGATGGCCAAATCCATGGGTGCAGCGGAGTCTCAGGTACGTTGGCACGATAAGCCTGACATTTGCCACAATTCTGTGCAATGGATGTGATGTCCTGATCGAGGTTAGGCCACCACACATACATTCTTGCGAAAGACTTGGTGCGCGTCTCTCCGCAGTGCCCGTCGTGTAGAAGACTCAAAATTTTTGCCCTTCCCTGTGGCGGTATCACAACGCGCGAACCCCACAATATACATCCATCCTGAATGCTCAGCTCGGCTTTACGGGACCTAAAAGGTCGGAAATCTGGCGACAGCACCTCCCCGTCATCCGGCCAGCCCTCCTGAACATACTGAAGCACGACAGCCAAGACAGGGTCTCTAGAGGTCCACCGGCGAATGTGGTCCACAGTGACCGGAGACGCGTCTAAAAACTCCATCAAATGTATCGTCTCCGCCGGAACGGGGCTCGACTGACCGACCACCGACGACGGGACGGGCAGCCGACTGAGCGCGTCACAGTGAGTTTGTTTAACGCCGGGGACGAATTCAAAGCGATAATCATACGCTCCCAGCATAAGGGCCCACCTGACCACCCGGGGCGATGCCATCAGTGGGAGCGGCTTGGACTCACCTATCAGCCCCAGCAGGGGCTTATGATCGGTCCGTATTGAAAACGGACGGCCCGCCAGATAAAAGTGGAACCTCTTTACACCGGCCACCACCGCCAAACCCTCCCGGTCGGTCTGGGAGTAGCGCCTTTCAGTCTCGTTTAAAGAGCGCGAATAAAACGCGATCGGTCTCTCCCCTTGCCTCGTTTGCTGGCTAAGAATGCACCCCAATCCCACTGGACTGGCGTCACATGCCAAAATCACAGGGAGTTTTGGGTCAAAATGTCCCAAAACAGGAGGGCTTTTGAGCAAACGTTTCGCATCCTCAAAAGCTCTCCTTTCAATGTGCGTCCACTGCCAAGGGCGATTTTTCCGTAACAGAACATACAGCGGCGAAAGGGTGGTGGCCAAACCCTGCAAAAATTTTCCGTAGTAATTGATAAGGCCGAGCCAGCACCGCAGCTCGGAGACATCTCGGGGCTCTGGCGCGCCCGTGATGGCAGCGACCTTTTCCTCAGTAGTCTCCACGCCGCTCCCGCTGACCTTGTGACCCAGGTACGTTACGCTGTCCACGCCCAAACAGCACTTGTCCCGGTTCGCCCTGAGACCCGCCTCACGCAGCCGGCGCAACACCTCACGCAGCGCTACATCATGACTTTCCACAGTCTCACCCGCCACGACAACATCATCGAGGAACACACACACACCCTGTATCCCCGCTAGCAGCGTGTCCATGGTTCTCTGGAACAGGGCCGGGGCTGAAGCGTACCCGAAGCTAAGTCTCGTGGGTCTCAGCAATCCCCTCTGTGTGTTTACGGTCAGAAAGTCACGTGAACTCTGATCGAGAACCATCTGGTTGTACGCGGATTTAAGGTCTATCTTTGAAAAGACCTTACTGCCCGTTAAGCGTGTAAGCAGCTCTTCCACGCGTGGAAGCGGATATTGGTCCACCTTGGCCACCCTGTTGACCGTGAGGCGATAGTCCCCACATAACCTGATCTTTCCCCCGGGTTTTGGCACGACGACTAGGGGGGCGGCCCACTTACTGTGCTCCACTGGCTCCCACAGTCCTTGCTGGATCTGTTTCTCCAGCTCGGCATCCACCTGCTCGCGGAATGTCAGTGGGACTGTGCGGGCTTTGAAGAATCTCGGCTTCACATCGGGATCCACCGAAATGGTCACCTCAGCGCCACGATAGCACCCCAAACCATCGCTGAAAACTTCAGAAAACTCCTGAACGAGCGTCCGAGCCCGAGAGCGGTCGGTAAGCTGACATATGGAGGGCCAGTCAAGTCGTATGGTCGACAGCCAGTTTCGACCAAAAAGAAATGGTCCCTCGCCCTTAACTACCACCAGCGGCAGCTGCGCTCGCTGCCCGCCATACTGAACATCCACCATCGCCTGACCACACACCCCTAACACCTCACCGCTGTAAGTTTTCAACAGTTTGTCACATGGCCTAAGATGGGGCCCACCGACCGGCCAAGTACCCTTGAACACTTTCTCTGAGCAAACAGACAATGCAGCTCCCGTATCTAACTCCATACGCAGCGGGCAGCCGTCCACACATACATCAACCATTAGTGGTGGTTTACGATCTACTCCCAACTGCACCCCTTGAGCACGGAACAAGTAATATGGCTCGTCCTCACCGTCATTGTGGGGCGCCGCGCCACTCTGAGAAGTCCCAGGCGTCACGGACGGCTCCGGCTGCTCCTCCTCCTCCAGCAGCCGGACACGCTGAGACTCGGCGCGGCTCCGGCAGGCCGCTCTGGTGTGGCCCACGGCTCCGCACGCATAACAGTTCTGCGAGCGGAAGGGGCAGGCCGCCGGGACGTGCCGTCGGCTGAGACAGCGGCTGCAGGCACCCCGCGCCGGCGGAGCGCGGGAGGCAGCCCCGCCGGTGTCCAGGGGACGCCGATTGTCGTTCACCAGTGCTCGCCGGCTGTCGTTCACCAGGGCTGGTCGGCTGTCGTTCACCAGTGTTCGCCGACTGTCGTTCACCAGTGCTCGCCGGCTGTCGTTCACCAGGGCTGGTCGGCTGTCGTTCACCATCCTCCGTGGTGTCCCATCGACCCGTCCGATGACGGCAGACGACTCGGAGCGGCCGCTGAGCTCGGCTGCACTGGCTGCTGCCGACTCGTGGGCCTGAGCGATCTCCAGAGCCGTGTCCAGAGTCAGCCGCGGCTCGCTCAGCAGACGTGATTGCAGCCGCTCATGCTGAATACCGCAAACCAGTCGGTCACGAAGCATCTCGTCCAGCTGGCCTGGCTGAAACTTGCAGGGCTTCGCAAGCTTGCGGAGCCTCGCCGAAAACGACGACACTGACTCTCCAGCATCGCGAGTGCAGGAGTGAAACCGAAATCTGGAGACAATTGCAGATTGTTGCGGTTCAAAGTGGTCGACCAATATCTTCACCAGCTCCTTGAACGTTTTGTCTCCCACTGCGGCTGGGGCTATGAGGTCCTCCAGGAGGCTGAAGGTGCTGGCGCCAACCGCGCTCAGCAGTATGGCGCGGCGCTTCTCGACTTCATCTTCACCGACGCTGTTGGCGACAAAGTGCTGTTCGAGACGCCTGCTGTACGCGCCGAACGACTCCACTGCCGCATCAAACTCGGGCGCCCGGCTCACTGACGCCATCACTGCTTCCCTTGCCACTAATCACCGCGCGGCGCACACGTTCACCGCCTCGTCGCCATTGAAGTAGACAGCACGGCGTCCCGTTCAAAACTGTATTGCTTCCCGGCCGCTCACCCGAGGTCGTGTCACAGATACTGCCCGAGGCACCGGGCGAGTCCACTGGGACGAGAGGGGTGACCAGTATGCGAGGGAGAGAGGGAGAGGGAGGGAGGCCGCCGGTCGAGGCGAGAGCCGGTTATGACAGCCGCCTTGGATGTCATCTTTCTTGGCAGATCCATCCGTTCAGATGGTACGGTGCAGTCTGGATAAAGGACGAAGTCCAACGCCGCTAACCCCGCGACCGCCACCCCACAACGTGGCCGCAGACCGAACGGGCGTGAGGGCCGTAAGGGCCACCCCGCCATCCGGTAGGTGGCTGAGCAGCCGGGCGCAGCGGCGCCTGGGCGGCGGCCGCGCTGAGATGAAGTCCCAAACCGCCATGTCGCCATCACCGCCATCACCATTGCTGCAGCTGTTCCCAACCGCCTCAATCGCCGCCGTTTTGCCAGCAGTCGCGCCGCGGAATGGCAGAAGCTCCAGAGTAGCCTCCAGCGCCCCTCTCCGCACGTGTGCAGGTGCACTGCGGCCGCCGGGTCCGACGTCCAGGCAGAACATGATATTTCCATGCTGCTCCGACGGTGGGCTGGTCTTGTTTGGGCGTTCCTCCACTGTGACGTCGGTCACGCCTTCCCCGGCCAGGGCGCAGAGGCCGACGTGTCACCATCCGGTTGCAGTCCTCAGTCGGGTCGCAACGTGTACCTCTTCCGCAGCGTGGAGCGCGCTCCCGCTGGGCAGCGATACAGCCAAAAGTAGCATAGCATGCGGGCGGCCAGCGCTGCGCCGGACAGCGGACCCATGCCGGGGGTATGCCGGTCTCGGCCATTAGCGGGGTCGTCGGGGCCGAGGCTGTACATACAGCTGGTGACCGCGTGAGCCGCCAATCGAAGCTCACGGCTCATAAGCTCGACGCGGGCATCACACGCCGTCCCGATGGGAGCTCCACGACGCCACCGCGAACTCCAGCGCGGCTCGCAGCGCGAAGACCAGTACGGACGGCCGGGGCAAACGGCGTGCGGGAGTCGCAGGCGACGTTCTGCGGACAGAAAGGGTTGGGCATAAGCTGGTCGGCAGGACACTCTTGAGCCGAGCCTTTGATGTAATTACAGATGATCCAGAAGCATGCACAAAAATTCATGACACACTATTCTCATTTATGTATTTGCTACATATGATATGATATACCAGCTCATGATCAGTGACGCATTCTGGGCAATATGTTCTAAAGTGAAGTAACTGAAGTTACAGCTTAAAAGCTTAAAAAAACAGCTTAAAAAAACACACACACATTCGATAGCTTATGAGAATAACATGCCTTGTGTGCTTAATGCAGGAAAATATTTTTTCACTTTTTTAGAAACAGCAAAAGAGTTGTCAACAAGCCATGTCAACTATCTTAACAATTTTTATGGAAACTGCTCTAGCTAGCTTAAAGTTCCACAACGTTTCCGGAGCACCGTACCCAAACTCAGTTCATGTTACAAGAAAAAAACAGTAATAATGCCTCCTAATTTTGAATGAAATATAGGTATGAGTAATTTGATTTGGAAAGCAACAAATTTCCGCACATCATTTTAGCAAAATTACTATTTTCTTCAGCCATCAGGTTACACAAAACTATAGTAAACTTTTTGATCTAGTTTACACAAAACCAAAGCCCCGATTTTAACAAATGTAGATAAAATTTAAACAATTTTAATAAATGTATCGTGGAGAAAATGAAAAGTGTAGATTTGTAAAGCCGGGATATTTCAATTTCACGGATTAGGCACTTAAAGAAATATCTTCACCTTTCTTTGAGCCACCAGCCTTCACCCAAGTTTTACACGAATGTAGTGAAGCAGACAATGTGGCAACTCAAAATTGTGATGGTTTGAGATAATTATGACGGTAAAAGAAAAAGCAACACAAGGTTCCTTACCCTCGTTTTTTTCACATGGGTTCAGATGAGGCTTCAACTGTTGCCGACCTGAGGAGCTATAGGAACTTGAGCTTTCCAAAACTCAATTTCTAAGGGCACTGAGCAGTGTTTGGCTTTCACACGAATGCGATAGTAAGTTATATGAAGTTGACAAAGCAAGCAAAGCAAAGCATGATGCCCCGCGCGTCCGCCCGCGACCACGCCCCGCGTCCGACTCCCGACCGCCGCGTGACCCGAGGCGCCCGGCGGTCACGTGACCTACCGGCCGGGACTGCAAACGGCCCTCACCACCATTCTTGTATGACGTCATATCCTACTGAGGTGCTGATTGGTCGGAATTAGATACCTGAAGGTAATTATCTGCCGTAGTTATTTTTGTTTCATTGTTTTGCGTGTTTTCTTATATGAAATGTAATTAAAAAATTTGTCATATTTTAATCACCATTAAAAATAACTGAATAGGTATAAAAGAGAACTCGATATATACTTTCCTTGTTTTTAAGAATTCCGGAATTAGATACCCGAGGGAGCAAAGAGGAAGCAAGTTGCCACGCTGATTTAATACCTCATAGTCGAAAGGTGGGCTACTAGAACCAAAAATTGCTGTGTTTGTAAATAAATAAGTGATTTGAGGGCAAAAAATGCCCGGATTTAAACTTCTAAAATTATTTTGAACATAAAATATTTCAGTTTGAGGGATGTTAAGGCCTCTAAGGGTAGGTACTTTTTAGGTATCAAATAAGTTCCTCTGCGAAAGTTCCGTCGTGAAAACGGCCAATATAATTTTTTAATGCTTTAATCGAAAATAGTCTGATAATTTGAGAAGGTACCTATACAAGCAATTATTGCAACCCGAGCTGAAAGAATCGACTATGAATCTACTTTGACCAAATCGCACCAGATATGACCAAATGTTTGCCAGATACTCGTGGTGAAAACAGCTGTTACAGCTACATGCAGCTACAAACAGCTGCATGCAGCTTGCATGTAGGTGAGTATCAGGAGGCTAAAAGATCATGCCGTCTGAGTTGGGACCCAGTGGTATTACGTGTTAGAATCCTCTCACATCTGACAACAGCTGATGTTCAATGGCCACCCATACGCCACACTCCACAGGTCACTATTTCAGACTCAGGCTGCCCTCGCAGCTGCTACCGACGCTAATAGTCAAGTCTGACTGATGCGTCGTTAAACAACCAAGAAAACAAACAAACTCGCAGCTGCTGGTGTTGTTGAGTGGGTGTTGTTTGTTCCGTTCCGTGGCTTGTTCTATTATCCGGTACTTTTCTGATGCTTTAAATTCAAACTCGCATGACTAGACGGTTGGAATTACCAGCATTTGCTTCATGCTTGCTAAACATTAGGACAAACATAGTCATCAAAGTCACTTCCATTACGTTGGAACGCTTCCTATGCTGTTATTCCGACTTTTCAACTTGTTAAAACTCTTAGCAAGTGTAAACGACAATAAGCTGTGACTCTGAAGTGCCAAGTATCCGACAACAGAAACTAACGGCACATGCAGCTTGCATGTAACATCCCTCTCCATACCAGGCCGTAGCGAGGCTCGACAGGCGCGTCAGCAGGTATGAGGTAGGGGCGGTAAGCAGCTGAGCGGGTGAGATGATGACGTGATAAACAAGCGAGCTGGTGAAATGATGTCCAGCTCACAAGGTGTGCTAGGCACGCCCGCGCCTCCAGTGGGGGCCGTTGAGATTTGTAGGGCTGCTGGTTTCCGCTGGCCGGTAGAGCCTTACCCAGATCCCTCCCCCACCTCCACCCGATCAGCCTGTCACGCGCCGGTCGGGAACTGACCCTGGGCAACGAACCGAACGGATTGGGAGGACCGATAGGACTGAACGGAACGGGAAGATTGAACAGGAACGGCTGATTCAACGGACTGAACGAACTCAACAGACCACAGTAGTGGACAGGAACGGACGGACTGACGAATCGATCGAAGTGACGAACGAAACGAAACACGTGCAAACCGACGGACCGATGGTACTAATGACTGATATGGACCAACTGTGATCGGCGGTACTAAGGACCGATTTGGACCAACTGTGGTCGGCGGTACTAAGGACCGATATGGACCAACTGTGGTCGGCGGTACTAAGGACCGATATGGACCAACTGTGGTCGGCGGTCCGTTACGTTACGACCGGTAACAGCTCGTGTTGTGGATTGTGTGAGAGGTGCACCAGACCAGTACATTTGGCTGGCCAGTGGTCACCGGTAGGTCCGTGCACCTCACCAGCGCGGCGGTTGCCGGTAGGTCCGCCCGTACTGAGTCGCACCGATCGGGCCACCGCCTGCCTCCAATCAATCAGTGAGCACGCGAGCCGGGCCGCACGCGGCCCATCCAGAAGTCAGCACGGGCATCTTCAGCGTGGCGTGCGCCCATCGTTCAGTGCCCGGCGACCTTTGGTGACCTTCGATGATGCTTGGTGTGTCCGCCGCACGTGCCACCATGACCGCGCGTCGAATCCATCAAGCCCAACCGAAGGAAGGCTGCTAAAATTGGGAGTAGCCGAACTAACGGAGTCCCAGTTGAGTCCCCCAGGTCAATTGGTTTGGTGACTCTCAACTTTAGCAGTCTTCCTTCGGTAAGGCTTGATGGATCCGAGTTCCGACGCAACGATGCTGGATACTTTCAAGAGAGACTGTACTGAGTTAACGTTATTTTCACCGTCAGAAACGTGACCGTGGATAGTCTTTTCAGTCACCTACCGGCTACCAGGTTAGCAGGTTCTTCAGAACAATTGTAAAGGTTTGTTCATAGCCCCACAGCCTGCTGAGGATGTGGGAGGCACGTGAGCATGAATATGCAATATGCACACATACAACTGTGCAATAACACTGAAACCGTGATTGTGGAATGTTGTTGCGTAGTTTTTCGAATGACTATTATATTAGCAACATAATCAAACTTTACTCAATAGCTTTTTGGCAGCCTTGCCTTGCTGTCAAAGTAGACGAAGTCAGCCCTTTCTTTGCCGCAAGGTGTAGCGGACAGCGAGACTGATGAGGTTCTCTGGAAGCTGACACTTCGTAGGTGATTGGACACTCCCTGGGGGCAGCACACGTTACGCATATATATCCTGGCACATTGAAGTCCTTCTGGAGTCGTAAGTACCACTGGGCTCTGTCTGTGAGATGACACTTGAAAAGATGGGGGCTGGACAGGTTCGTAGAAGGCCGGCCTGGCTGAGGTCCGACGTAGACGACATCGATCAACATCACAACTGCGATGCCGCCACCAAGTCAAATACTCGACAATCAATCGTTCTTCCGGAGTCCATTTGGAGATGACGGGTCTCAAACGAGCACACAGGAGCCACCGATTGTCGCGGCTCGACGATCGGAAATAAAACGGAATGGGACCACGGCGAACAGCTCAATAATGGTTCCACCCAGCACCCGGCTGCAGCTGTGCTAAACTGACGACAAAACGACAGGATAGCCGGGACAGCGGGATAGTGGAATGAACGGCAGGATAGGGGGACAGTCTGTCGGTGGGACAGCTTACAATGAGACGGCGGGCCATCGGGACAGCTCACCGCGAGCCGCTGGGACGACAGGACGGCCGGACAGCGGGATGGACAGCCGCAGGCGCTGCCGTTATTGACCGGCCGACTGTGATCTCCCGGCCGCCCGCGAGCTGGACATGCCCCGCCCATTCTGAGCGGCAATTGAAGCGCCGTCTCGAGAAGGCCGCTCTCGGCGCCGCCGGCTTTAGGGCCGATCAAATCACAGTCAGCCATGGAGTGGCGATCGGCCGGCTCGGAGCGAGCGACAGCGGCCGGCCGGCCGGACCGGGGGCCGTCAGACAGACTGATGGCTGACCGGAAGGGCCGCCGCCCGGGGAGCCTCCGTCGGAAGGCCCGCTGTCGAAAAACGCTCCGTCTGAAGGCCCGCTGTCGAAAGACGCTCCGCCGGAAAGGTCGCCGCCGAAAGGCACTCTTTCTCGGAAGAGCTGACGGCTGAGAGACGCTCCTTTGGAAGAGCTGTCGGCTGAGAGACGCTCGTGGGGAAGGGCTGTCCACTGAGAGACGCTCTCTCAGGACTGTCGGCCGAGAGACGCTCCTTGGGAATGTTGTCGGCCGAGAGACGCTCCTTGGGAATGCTGTCGGCTGAGAGACGCTCCTTGGGAATGTTGTCGGCCGAGAGACGCTCCTTGGGAATGTTGTCGGCTGAGAGACGCTCCTTGGGAATGTTGTCGGCCGAGAGACGCTCCTTGGGAATGTTGTCGGCTGAGAGACGCTCCTTGGGAATGTTGTCGGCTGAGGGGATGCGTTCATTGCCAACTACTGCCGAAGGACACACGCTCCGCTCCGTCGACTGAGAGACGCCCCTTTGGAAGGGTCGCCGACTACTGGCGAAGGACATTCTGTCGACTGAGAGACGCTCCTTGGAAAGGGTCGCTGACTACTGCCGAAGGACATTCCGTCAGCTGAGAGACGTCCCTTGGGAAGGGTCGCCGACCACTGCCGAAGGACATTCCGTCTGCGAGGGATGCTCCTTGGGAAGGGCCTACGCCGAGCGACGCCTCCTAGAGAAAGGTCGCCAAGTGTCGTATACTCTGTCAAAATGGCCGACACTGAGCCAAGTGGCAGTTCTGTCAGAGGGGCCGCTCTGTCGGAAGGGTCTCTGTCGAATGTTCGACCACAGACTGGGTCCGTGACCTCGCTATAAACGGCCTCTGATGGCTGACTTAAGTTTGCTAAATGCTCATGATATAGTGGGATTCTTTTTCACTGTTGAAAAGCTCATTTGTCTCTGTCATAAATTCGCAAACTTGTTTGGTGTGTCACAAAAATTAAAGATGTTGTTTATTGAAACATAATTTGAAAGCATTCTATGCATATCAGTCGCTAATTGAGATATTCATCCTGATCGTCTCCAATAAACGAAAATGCGTGAAAACACGCGCCCACAGAAACTACCAATCCTTTCTTGTCTCTTGATGAAGCACATGATTGTGTGGACACGGAGAGGGAGAGAGAGAGAGAGAGAGAGAGAGAGAGAGAGAGAGAGAGAGAGAGAGAGAGAGAGAGAGAGAGAGAGAGAGAGAGAGAGAGAGAGAGAGAGAGAGAGAGAGAGAGAGAGAGAGAGAGAGAGAGAGAGAGAGAGAGAGAGAGAGAGAGAGAGAGAGAGAGAGAGAGAGAGAGAGAGAGAGAGAGAGAGAGAGAGAGAGAGAGAGAGAGAGAGAGAGAGAGAGAGAGAGAGAGAGAGAGAGAGAGAGAGAGAGAGAGAGAGAGAGAGAGAGAGAGAGAGAGAGAGAGAGAGAGAGAGAGAGAGAGAGAGAGAGAGAGAGAGAGAGAGAGAGAGAGAGAGAGAGAGAGAGAGAGAGAGAGAGGAGAGAGAGAGAGAGAGAGAGAGAGAGAGAGAGAGAGAGAGAGAGAGAGAGAGAGAGAGAGAGAGAGAGAGAGAGAGAGAGAGAGAGAGAGAGAGAGAGAGAGAGAGAGAGAGAGAGAGAGAGAGAGAGAGAGAGAGAGAGAGAGAGAGAGAGAGAGAGAGAGAGAGAGAGAGAGAGAGAGAGAGAGAGAGAGAGAGAGAGAGAGAGAGAGAGAGAGAGAGAGAGAGAGAGAGAGAGAGAGAGAGAGAGAGAGAGAGAGAGAGAGAGAGAGAGAGAGAGAGAGAGAGAGAGAGAGAGAGAGAGAGAGAGAGAGAGAGAGAGAGAGAGAGAGAGAGAGAGAGAGAGAGAGAGAGAGAGAGAGAGAGAGAGAGAGAGAGAGAGAGAGAGAGAGAGAGAGGAGAGAGAGAGAGAGAGAGAGAGAGAGAGAGGAGAGAGAGAGAGAGAGAGAGAGAGAGAGAGAGAGAGAGAGAGAGAGGAGAGAGAGAGAGAGAGAGAGAGAGAGAGAGAGAGAGAGAGAGAGAGAGAGAGAGAGAGAGAGTTGCAGCGGCAAGCGATATGGATAACGAGTCATCTCGCGACATTCCACATTTTCTGTCGACTCGGGACTGCTGGAGTCAGGAGTGTCTGTCGCCGCCGCAAGTAATCAGGCAACTTTTTTCCCAGGTGACACATTCAGAGACTTTACCGATTTATCTCTCAATATAAATGTTGACCGTCTAATTTATTGATAGCTTCCCACGGCAAATGTCCGAGGGAGAGATGATTTGAGGAATCAGATTGTCTGCGTCTTGTTTCGCCGACGCATTCCGACCGTCTGACCGACTGCCATCTGCATGGTCTCGGGCGCACATGTCGGACAAGAAGGGAGCAAGACGAACGGTGTGTTTATGGCCCATGCCAGCACGTATGATCGATACTGAATATAAAACATCACACTGAGCGATGTCCAGCATCCATTAGACATATTGGCCGGCGCCGACGGGCGCGCCCCCGCGGCCAAATAACTCCCACGTGAGGCGAGCCGGGACGAGCCAGCCCGTGTAGCGAGCAAACCTGCTCACTTCTGATGGATGCCTTAATACCACGCTCTGATGGCGTGCTTCTTTTTAGCCGTGCTGGTTTTGCAGCCCCTCGATTATTTATGGTCAATGTTGTGATCTCGCGAATCCCCATATTCCAAAAACAAATTCTGATCTATAGTACCCATAACTAATATCTAACTTGTAAGTCAGCGAAAAAGTTGCAAAGTGCAAGTTTTATACCGAAGTCTCAACTTATCTATTGTTAGCTGTACGAGCCATTTTGTAAATGGGTGGTCTAAATCGGTAAATGTGACCAATGTTAATCACATCCCAGAGCACCTGACCTTTTGCCGAGCATGGAATTGGCTGTAATACTCTTGTAATCGTTTCTGACGATCTTTAGAACGCCGCTTGTCTTCTGTTGCCTAATCACCCGTAAGCCGACTAAAGTAGAGTGCGTAAAACCTCCCTGGTCGATGAATTGTAAAAGTGGAGTTGAATGCTTATTTGACACGGATTGAATTGACACAGATTGTATTGAGGGCTTGTGGCACGGATTGAATTGTAGGCTAGAATTTCACCTGTAACCCTTTATCAGAGTTGGAACCGATCTGAGACGCGACTGAGTTTTTTTGTGTGTATGTGTGTGCGTGCGTGTGAGTGTGACACTTGTATGTTTGCTCGTTGTCATTCTGTGCCTGCTCTCCCATTGCCGATTGACGTTCATTTGTTTTAGCACCTGACGAAAGGCAGTAATAGCAGCAAGTATATCGCGGATGCCCTTAATACGCAGTAGCCGTTTTCACGACGGGCTATCGGGCGAATGCACCTGATTTGACCAAATCTGCACCTAATTTCTTTTACAGCCAATATCTTCATTTTCTATATTATGATTTATAACATGTCTGTACGACGTGCGTGCATCCGTGTGTCATGTCTTATGTGTCTTATTGCGCCTGAAAGTTGCCGCGTATCGACGTGAAATTTGGCATGCCGAATTGATGGGTTGATGTGACCTCTGTATTAAAATTTGGGACGGATCGGTCCAGGGGTGCGCCGTCGGCACGTGTAAAAGGGTGCTCCCATAGGCTTAACACGGGGACGGCGAAAACCGCCAACGGGCGAAAATCGGGCCTGCAGCGCTCCTCTCCCGGGCTTATAACTCGGCGATGGGTGACCACAGCGAGATGGGATTGCCACCAATGGATAGAGGAGAGATGGAACTAGCGTATCGATATGGTTTCATAGCATAGCACGCGCCACGTGCAAGACAACACCCCCGGTTGCGAAAAAATGACCGATTTCGTGCATTGTGACGGGAAAATCGATGCCGCTGGAAAACGGTTTGACGGAATGAAATTGGTGTGGTACCATTTTACAGACAAATGTACGTGTACTGATAGGAAAACAAATAAAAAGTGATGATCCGTACCATTTCCTTAATAATGAAAAATTAATTGGAAAATTTGATTCGCGCGGAGCGCGATGTCCTTTACAACATCAAAACGTATTGAAAACGCTGATCAATGGCTATAAAACCTACATATTCGGAAAGAGCATTCTTTTCTGACCAATATCCACCCAAAATATTATCGAAAAGTCAATAAACTTTTGTGAAAATGACTCAAACATACGACCGTGTTTCGTTAACGTTACAGGTATTTTTCGACAAAATCCGATCGATGGCTTATGGGCGGCAGGCCATTCAAATTTTGACAATAGCTATCAAAGCATGGGCTGCAATGCACCGCCCACAAAGGGGAATTCCGAACACTGAAAATAAGCGCCTACCAGTAAACAGCACGTTATTGTACTAGGAATAACTCGGCTACTACTGGGCCGATTAAGCTGAAACTTGGACTGTGGGTGGAGGGGGCATTAACCTGGCGATTCATGGTCATTTGTGACAGGTAGGGTGGATCGATTGCACGTGCGCACGTGAGGGATCCACTTATACATCTCAAGAACGGCTTGGCCGATTTCGCTCAAATTTTGTTTACTGTTGGGGGACAATTTAGAAAGGTGGCTGGCACAAGTCATCTGGAGTCTCAGCGCGTCCGCACGTGCAGTGGGCCAGTTTGATATCTCAAGAACGGCTGGGCCGATCGCGCTCAAATTTGGTACGTTACTTTAATCGAGTATGAGAAGGGTAACTATGTGTAAGTTATTAGTAAGGTAGGGTATGGGTAGGTAAGGGTAGGGTAGCCTTGAGTTCGATAAAGGCAAACCACGAGAAAGGCGCTAACAACCCGCAACCAGCACCAGCATACCATGCCGTTCAAACAAATATCAAACTCCGACAAAATAAAACAAATAAAAATCATAAGTTCCTACACCTAAACTAATGTCCCCTCAAACGCATCTATCAAAACGCACAGTTAGGTATAGCGTAAAACATGCCATCTAGTATGAATTTATTTCAATGTTTTATTCGATGATGCTCTCTGGTAATATGACAAAGCAGGCATATAAGAAATTAGTGCAACCCTAGCTGATAGCTGCTAAGAGACACACTGAACCTGATTTGACCAAATCTGCACCTAATCTGTACCAGATGTGCACCTAATGTGTACCAGATGGCCGTCGTGAAAACGGCTAGTATGAAGTATGAAGTAGTTCATTTCATTTCCATTCGTGGAGAAGCTTTTGGCCCAAGTGGAGAAGCTTTTGCCCTGGTCCCATGAACCTTAGTCAGCTTCCGATGTGAATATTCGTCAGGTGATCTCCCCGTTTCTCACAGGGGAGCCTACTTCTTAGTCAGCTGAGGCTCCCCGTTTCCCACAGGGGTGCCGATCCTGGCGGTAACCTGTCAGCTGATGTTTCCCATGTTCCACAGGGATGCCTCCTGGCGTTGACCTTACCCAGCTGATGTTTCCCGTTTGCCTCAGGGGTGCCTCCCGGTGTTGACCTCAGCCAGCTGTTTCCCGTGGTCCACAGGGGTGCCTCCTGCTCCTGGCGTTAACCTCAGTTAGCTAATGTTTCCCATTTGCCTCAGGGATTCCTCCTGGGGTTGACCTCAGTCAGCTGATGTTTCCCGTTTCCCTCAGGGGTGTCTCCTGGCGTTAACCTCAGTTAGCTAATGTTTCCCGTTTGCCTCAGGGGAGGGGGGGGGGGGTGCCTCCCGGTGTTGACCTCAGCCAGCTGTTTCCCGTGTTCCACAGGGGTGTCTCCTGGCGTTGACCTTAGTCAGCTGTTTCCCGTGTTCCACAGGGGTGCCTCCCGGTGTTGACCTTACCCAGCTGATATTTCCCGTTTCCCTCAGGGGTGCCTCCCGGTGTTGACCTCAGCCAGCTGATGTTTCCCGTTTCCCTCAGGGGTGCCTCCCGGTGTTGACCTCAGCCAGCTCAGCGCAGAAGAGAGGGCCATCATCGAGGAGGTGATGCACAAGGCACAACAAGAGGGCGTCGAAGGTGTCAAATCCGGGTGAGTACAAATGTTACTTGTGTAGGCGCCCGCACATATATCAGCACCTCTTTATTTTAAAGGTCGAAGTATAACACTTCGTTGAGGTTGGATGAATAAATGGGTATTAAATGTAGCGATGAATTGGATTTTGCGATGATATTGCATTGTCTACAGATATGCCTACATAACGTGTAATGTGTATTGTATATCCGGACTTCCCTATTTTGGATAGGTATAGGTAACCATTCCGTTCAATCGATTCAATCATATTTTATAGACTTACATCTTTTTATATAAATTTCAATAACACAAAATTTAATGCGACTTTATGAAACGGTCGTATAACGGTGACACTTCAGGAATTGAATAACATTTTCCTGGAGACGGTTCCCAGTGGTCCGAAGCTACTGCGAACAAATCCTCAACGACCTCAGTGATGATCACATCTAAATTCCCATGGGGACAGTCTCGAAACTCAAAGGAACAGCCGATGTTGCATGATATTGCTTGAACGATGCCAATATTCGCGAAAACGCCTGGAATAGTCGCAGTAGGTCACACAACATACAGCATCGCCAAATGCTAGAAGAAGTGGAAAAGCAAGACAATTAAGACGGAAGCGAGAGTGGCCTTACGCTCGATGTTAGCATCACACGATGTCCGCCGCTCGGGTACCGGTTGCGCCAGTGACGGACGTCGCCCAGCCACTGACCTACCGACTCCAGACGCCACAATGACAGCGCTCAACAGCCGGCGAACTGCCGCGCCCACCCGAAAACCGCCGCCCTCGAGTGGCATGGGAACGCGCCATTGCACTTAATGGCTTCCGTTCCGCCGCGCCGGCGCGTAATGGTTGACGACTAGGGGGATATGTCGGATGTGACTGTCGACTGTTGCTGTGGATGACTGTGTCAGAGGCGGCTGTCCACTGTTTCTGTTAGTGATAATGACTGTGCACCATTTCTTTGACACGTCAGAAGCATAGGCGGCGGAACGGGGAGGGCACCGGGGCACCTTGCCCCCTTTGATTTTGGCATTTTAACATTAGCCCTATGGGCGTTGCATGGAGAGAATGGGACCAAAAGGCAAAAGTTGGCAGTGCCCCCCCCCTTAACTGAGGGTGTTCCGCCGCTACTGGTCAGAAGTGACTGTCACTGCTATGTTGTCACTACTGTAAGTGACTGTTTCTGTGGGTAATAGGTGTGTCAGAAGTGACCATCGACTGTTGGTCGTTGCTGCGGATCTCAGCGATAGCTTCAGGTAGCGATTGTCCTCAGCCGAGTATCCACTGTTGGTGAGACTTCAATCTTCATGCCAGCGACATAAGCATTTAGCGACGCATCTGGGTGGCGGTTACATCACACCTTTTCAAGCTTTTCTTTGTGTGAGCATTCGCCGTGCAGACATGTTCCAGTTCTGCGCTTTTCTTCCATTCAGTGCAGTTACTGTCAGCGCCTTCGGCGAAGAGCCCGTGCCGGCTGACTTGTCGGTGTCCGCTCAGCCGGCCGTGACCGAGACCGTGCCGAACTGCTGACCCGATCGTTTCCCATGCCGCGCCGGGATGAATGGTATGAAAAAAGCTAATGTCGGTCCGACGTACCACTCAGCAGTCTCGCCGAGCTCAGTAATCAGGCCGTGGTGGCAGTCTGCCCCATAGCAGATGCCCCTCGTTCCGCCCATGGCAGCCGGTCCCACTCCCAACCATGGCAGCCAACCCGCCCCTGCGCAAGGCGTGGCCTACCTATGCCCATGGGCCATGGTAGCCCACCCATGGCAGCAGCCCCGTCCAAGGCTGCCGTCCCCCCCCCCCAGCCCCGCCCTCGCCTATCACTGCTGCCCTCGCCCCGCCTCAACCCCAACTACCCCCAGATCCGGCCCGGCGCCTCAGTCTCTATCTGAGTCGGCCCATGGGGCGCCGTTTCGCTCCAGTCAGCATAAAATGTCAATAAAGACGGCGCTGGGCGGGTTTGAGGGAAGACTACTGGTCAGAGGAGGGCCAGTCGGCCGGTCCCAGCTGCGTCGGCGGACGGTCGCTGCCTTACGATTGGTGCCCGGCTAATAGAGCGTGTAGATTTGACGTCCCCGAGTGGCCGGTCTGCCTGATTGTGAGCCTGCTGACCGGCGGCGCCTCCCCGCCGGAGTTGGCCGTCCTGCAGCCGACCCGGTCCGGGGGCACAGCTGTCGGCCAGCAGCCGAGGTTCATTGGGAACGGCCGACCTGATTCGGAGGCAGGAGCCGTTCAGACAGACAGACATTGATTGCAAAGGTAGTTCCGGGGGTATATTGACAGGGATCGATGAACTACTTCAGTCCAGGAAACATGACCGGCGTTGCGACTTTGCTAATCCCTAGCACAAACATTCCGTTTATTGCCTCAATCAAGCAGGCATGATTATGCTACAGCATTCTTGAGCCGCATAAGTTACAGCAAGACTGAAATCAAATTATTTGAAATGCCTATTCGTTGTGACGACGAAATCTCCTCAAACATTTGACTTGACGGCTGACTAGAGCTTATGCATCAGACAACAACGTGACCAATCAGAATAAATAAACTAGCAAAGCTAGAGAAGCAGTTCCGGCAAATGAGATTAGCCATCATGGTGGTGATCGCTGTGGCGTGTCACTGCCTGGAGACAGCTCGGGGGTCGGGGTGGCCGGCTGAGTGAGGACATCGGGCTGGTGTACCGCTCGGCGCCGGGCCGGCCGTCGGTGGTATACGGGGCCGGCTCGCACCGCCGGCCGGCCGGGCAGCTGCAATCAATACGCCGAGCATGCCGCCCGGCGATTGTCGGCTCCATCGGCCAGCGGCGCCGCTCCTTGGGCCGACCGGCGCCGCTTCTTCGGCCGGCTACCACAACTCCTTGGGCCGGCCACCACAACTCCTTGGGCCAGCCACCTCAACTCCTTGGGCCGACCACCACAACTACATCAACATTAGGCACAATCCAATGCCAGAAACTAGCGTTTCGTTCTTTTAGTTGTAAGATATACATACAAAACAGGGGAGCGTTAGAACGCATAACTATGGCATGTCCTGGAAGTCAATGTTCCACCTCTGTGTGCAATGTGTGCTACGTGTGCATAGGAGAGAATATTCTCTTCCTCAGTAAGAAACCCCACAGCGTGTAACTGAGGTCACGTTTCGTTACAGGAGCGAACTGGGGACATCCCGAGTTCCTGTCAAGTGTGCTCTTTGCCAGATACGAGAGGTAAGTGTCACTGAAAGCGGGACCTGTCATCGTTGACCTCTAACGTAGAGAGGACGCCATTTCAGCCCCTCATCAATGGTTCTCTTATAGATACCTCTTATATTCTCTTAGTCTGTATAGGCCGTCTGCCCTACCCTGCCATTTGGTCATTCAGCCTGTGTGGATGTGCCGAGAAGTGATTCATCTAGTCGCCCAGGACATGCCCTCAGTTCTCCACCATGTGTATTACATGTATCAACCTCCCGACCCTTCCTGGCCTGTCGTCAACAACAGGGAAGGAGGGGATCCCCGGCTACTAGCCGTCTCGCAGCTAATAGTTAATATGCAGATTTGCAGGCCCCGTCCACCTGCATATGCCGCCCTACCTCGTCACTTCAGCGCTTGATGGAGCAACTTTGTCGAAAATTGCTCCCTTATGGCACATAAAAATCACCTGCTCCGTCGATACAAAACGGCGAATATGCCGAAGTTGGAAGATTATGCTTCACTCCTCCTGTAAGGAGCGATCCCACACACGTGACAAGATGATTTCCTTGGCTGCTAGTCGAAACATCAGAGGCAGACACCATTCGTACTAACACCACGAGCTTAACACATGCTGAAACGCCCATCGTTTGTGAACGTCGTAGCTAAAATTCTTCCCAGATCAATTGAGTGGAAACTACAATGATTGTCAAATTATGCAGCACCGTAATTAACCCTCACCGGACTTATTGGTTTTCTACATACGCGCCGGCCGAGGGGGGGGGGGGCGCAGAGATTGGTACCCGATTTTAAGGTCCTAAGTCAACCGGTGACCTCTGAGGTCAGGTCAAGTGCCCCAAGGTACGGTTCATTTTTTGGTGAATAACTTCGCAAAAAAAAACGGCCGCAGAGCCGCGATTTTGGTAGCATCGTGTTCGCCTCGCTCCAGCGCGTCGAATGATATACTTCTTGTTCGGGCCAGGTCAACTTAAGGTGTTGACCTCAGGTCAAAGTCAGGTCAGCACCCCCAGGTCACGAAGTTGGTGAAAAGAGGTCATGTCGCATATCATTCGATTTGGCAGGTCTTCCTGAGTCCATTGGTGGCTTTCCCGACTCGCTAGCTCAATTTGATCAAGAGTTATTGACGAAAAACTAATATGACCTTGATGACGTCATAAATGACGTCACGCAAGGTCAACATTGCAAAATTGACGCATCTAACCTTGCAAGGAGTGCATCAAATCACGATTCTGTGTGCTTGAAATAGTTGGAGATCGTTTCCGGCGCCAGAATAGCAGTTTTCATTTTTCCCCCATTGACTTATAATGGTGAGGTCACGAAAATGACCTAACCTCATATGACCTTGAGGAAAATCCGAGATATACAAGTTGTGAGACTCATAATGGATACTAGATCCTGCAAGTTTCATTTCCCTGCGACATCTCCTCTGGCAGTGAGGGCGTTGCGAAGTTGCGACATCTGAAGACCGTGCAGAGGTTCACTTATGACGTCATAGGTCAGTGACCTGACCTGACCCAAAAATGCGGTTGGTGTCAAAAGATCCGTCTTAAATCAAAGGTCAATTATGCCAAGTTTCAGCTCTCTATCGCCAGCGTGTTCGGAGCTATCGCGAAAAAACCCTATGGGGGGCGGCACCCGCCCCCCCTCGGCCGGCGAGGGTTAAGTCAGTGCGTTTGAATCATTCTGAAAAGTGGCAGTAAAGGCGCTTTTCATAAAGCAGTTAGCGCGCTTCTTGGTGAATTACTAGTTAACTTAACTTACGCCATGTCATTTGTTCGTCACACACGTCTTTGCCGATAGTGAGTGGGGGCAAGAACACTTTGGGGGGGGGGCGGGGACAAGCTGCAATCTTTTAACTTTTGGGACATGATCCTAAAAGCTCCCTCGATTCGCCAGTGAATGATATTTGAGAAGTTACTGCATGCAGAATGTAAATCCCTAAAATGGCACTCGTTTCTGGCAATCTGCGGTTGTATTTCACAACTTGCGTATTATAGCAGAACGCGGCATGTTGATTACAGGCATCCGAGCCTTCATGTTGATGAGGAAGGGGACACTGGCGTGTAAGGTCGCATGCTATGCAGTATGCATAGCTAGTGGGTATTTATCGATTATCAATGCTCCGGAATACATATGTAAGCAATGTGGTCGCCAGTGTCCGTGCGGGAATTCAAGTCTCGTTTTGGTGATACCGCTCAAACGATAAGTGTTATATTCCTATAAATATTTCACTCTGACTGAGTGACGTGACGTCTTCATGTTTCGTCTTATAGATAATTCAATTTTATGTGATCATTCTTAATATTTTATTTAGCCAAAAGTTATTGGTATAACTTTTGTCATTATAAGCCCATTTATTGTCTAAAGTGCATCAAACAGCAGATATATTTGTAATACAATGAAAATATAGACGACCGAGCATAACTTATGTAACTATTTTTATTCGCTGACCTGCTATATTTTGATATTAACCATGCCATATCTTTTTAAATTTAAAACGGCTCCAACGGTGAGCCTTTTCCGGCGTGCCTGAGGCGCCAGAGTTGGTGGCTGCGAATGGCCCATGCCAACGACGCAAGTCGTCTCGCCCTGCCTGAATATACGGTACTTGCAGCTTAATGCTGATTAAACCTCCCACACTGCGTGGATTAAAGCGGAAACGCTCATCTACATTTCGGCGACACAGTCACTAAATGGGTGTCCAACGAAGATGTGTGGTTGGCACCTTTAATTATGATTTTAGAAAAGGTAGATTTTGAAGCTTTGTAGGAACTGACACACAGATGCTCCTGTGCGGAGCGGAACCTAAATATTTATTGTTACGGAGCGAGCGAAGCGAGCGTAGTCTTTCCTTAGATTAACGGAAATTTCTGAGTATGAGCGGCCGGCCGGCCCTGGTCACGCTTTTGCGAGGCTTATATCTCAGCAACCACTTGACCGATTTACACGCGGTAATTTTTGTAGGGTAGCTTCATTCCTTCTACCAAGTATTGGACTATTCCCGATGCATGTGGGTGACCCCTTATGCACGTGCCACGTGCAAAACGAAGAGGTGTCAGTTTTATAATTGTTGCAATATCTCGGTAACTACTTGGCCGATTGCGCTGAAAGTTGGCATGTAGGTAGGCACCCACTAGGCACTGCATAGGGGAAGCGGGGGGAACACCGCCACTGTGGGAAACACCGCCACCCCATCTGGCGGCGAAAGTATGAACTATAAAGTGTAAAAATCCGTTATTTCCTATTAACCGCACGAAGGTAAGCGTCTTCTGATTTGTGTTCCGGTGTTTCAGTGTAATCGAAGCTCATTGTGGGCATTTAAAGAAAAATACACATTCTCTTATAAAAATTCGATGAGTTGGGAGCACTTTTGAATGTCTTTAAGTAGAGACTCATTTTGATTTACTTGATTACATCGAAAAATAACTGATCGGCTTTGTCCAGTAAGATAGGTTTGCTTGAACCGTGTAGTACATTCTTGCCGCTGGCGATTTTTGCTTGTGATCACTTATTGGGGAACACCGCCACCCCGTGGCGGTGTTACCCCAATTGAGGTTGCGGTGTTTCCTGTTCGTAGCGTGATAAGTGATGAAATTCCAAAGACACGCTTTATTTATTTTCGTAGATGTTCCTAAGTCGGGAATAAGCAGCTTATTTGACTTTTTACTTTATATTTTTCATGCATCCCGACCAAGCACTTGCCAGCTGTATAAAACTGGCAAACAGCTGATGAACCTATACCTACTTAGGTGTCCATTACCGATTATTTGCGAAAATTACCACTTACCGACAGGAAACTCATCGCACGCGATCTCTGAACAATTAAAAGCTTTCGTAGGGATGGGTTGGGTTAACATCAACACCGGTGGCGGGGTTACCTTCACAATTTGTAGGCGGCAAATATGCAAGGTATTTTTAAAAGTCGTGATACATGAAAACCTTTTAGGAGCATGCAAAATAAGTAGGTACCTAAAACACGTGAGCAAATGTTTAAATATTGTAACCAAGACAATAACTACCAAGAGACTTCACACATATTCTCTCATTTTGGCGAAAAGCTTAGGGGGGCGGTGCTACCCCCGCTTCCCCTATACATGTGCCAGAGTTGGGGTGCTGCTGCACGTGCGCACGTGCAGGGGTCGTTTCCAGATCTCGGGAACGGCTGGACCGATTGCGCTCAAATTTGGTACACGGTTAGGGACCGGTTAGTAGGGTGCCGTGCACACTGCACAAGTCAGTTGGGACCCATTTTGTACGTGCGCACGTGCAGGGTGCCGCTTCCAGATCTCGAGAACGGATGGGCCGATTGTGCCCAAATTTGGCACATCGCTAGAGACCAGTTAGTAGGGTGCCGTGCACAAGTCAGTTGGAGGTACCCCCTCGCAATTTTGCACGTGCAAGGCCCACCCTCTCGCTCGCTCCGTTAGTCGCCCCAAAAGGCGTTATACTGGTGGATAAGGTACAATGCCAGCACACCATGCGGATTTAAAAAAGAAGAAGATATGTAGGCACGATGAAGGGCATTCCATCAAATAGACGTTTGAATTTAAAATTGAAATCTTTCGCCGGCATACGACCAGTGAACGGCATTGCGGCTCGTTCTGTATGCGATACACATTATTTTGCCCCTGGGTGTTGCTTCTTTATTTTTTTTACCATAGCCTAATGGAAAAGAAGAAGATAAGCATTGATAGTGCGCCTGGCCCCGCCGACTATGAAAACGCTGCATTTGAACTGCAAATGCTTTGCTTAGTCTGTTAATTTTATTAGTGTTTATGCATACGTTGATGTGTTTTGTTGCCCAAATAGCGCATATCAACTTTCAATTAGCAATAGGGCCTTGTTACCTTATACATGTTCACGTTACCTAAAACAACAAACGTAACAGCATGTCCTCCAGCCACAAGCAGTCGCGGCCAGGCTCCGACCCTCTCCCCGTCCGCCCCTCTGCCCCTCGCAGCGGCCGGCCGACCGGCCGGCCGACTGACCGGCCAAGGTCAGCTGCCCCCGGGAGGTAGGCTGGCCCGCTGTTGCTAGGCGACTGCCGGCCCGGTGACTCGCCACGCCGCGCGGCTCGGGGGCCGGGCCGGACGGCACGCTAAACCCGACCACAAATTTTACGGTCCTACCGAGTCGTTCCAAGTGATTCCTTGCAACCGGGGCAATATTCTTGCTATATAGAAAACACGCATGTAATGGCAAAACTTTGTTTTTAATTGTGATTTAAAGGTAGTGTGCCACCTTTGAAAGATTTCCCATTTTATTTTTCCTATGATAAGAAGCTTCTGTTTTTACCTAATATCGCAAAAAAAAATCAAAAATGGGCCTGGAGTAGTGCCTTTTTCGCCTAAAAGTTTATCGGTTTTTCGATATGTATAACAACTGTAGTGGGCTCACCTGCAAACAGGCGTCGGCCAAGCGTCGGCAACAATCGCGAATGCGGCGCACATGTGACAATAAGCAAAGGTCATTATAGTGTTACGACCATACGACGTACGGGAATGAGTTATCAGCTGTCTAATCGTAGACAACACAATGTCGAGCCTTAAACTGTAAGCCTGTATTGGTATTGTTTCTTTTATTTGGCTGTCGAACATTATTTATGGTTTGAAATATGATTTTATGTAAAATAATTGATATGAAAAAGCCGTCTCATAAGTTATGACCCCATTTCACCACACGCAAGTGGCAGAAATGACAATGATCAGCTGACGCATTTTTCTTGGCCGAAGTCAGAGCGCGCAGCCCGACGCACCACCACCGCACCACAAAGTATGAGCAGAAGCCGCGCCCAAAGCCAGGGCCCCGGTAACGTGAGGTAGCCGAGTCGGGGCAGCGTGCGCTGACCCAAGCCGGGGCCGCAGCTTTGGGCGCGGTCTACCGCATCCCCGCGGGCAGCCCCGGGCTATCACATGACACCGGGAGGACGCGCGGCTCCGGCTTGGATCAGCGCACGCTGCCCTGACTCGGCTACCTCACGTTACCGGGGCCCTGGCTTTGGGCGCGGTCTACCGCACCACCTAACAGGCGTGTTCGAAACCGCAGGAGCTGATGATGAACGGGTTTATCGAAACTTGATTGGATGAGCATATCGGTAATAGCGATTTCAGTGTGTGCATTTATTGTTCATAGTGGTGTGAAATGTGGTTGGGGTACGACCGACAACCCGTCGGGGCGAATTTCGCACTGGGGTACTCAAAATTTGAAGAATTTAACCCTCGCCCGCACATGGGGGGGGGGGGTGGTTGCCACCCCCCCCAGGTAGTCTTTCTGCTCTGCACTCAACATTTTTAGAGCTAGAAGGCTGATTTTTCGTATAGCTGCTCCTCTATCCTTTCTTGATGTCCACTGAAAATTTCAAGTTTCTGTGATTTTTGGTTTCGGAGATATGACCTTGTTTTTCAGGTCATGTCATGACCCAAACGGCCAATTCTCAACATCTTGCGTTTGCCATGGGCCTTATGAGCTTTTGACACCCTGATTTCGGCCTTTTTTGCCAGTCTTACCTCCTACCTATCATGGAACATGTTGTTTGACGATGTACAGGGGTCAAGGTCAGGGTCAAGGTCAACCTAGGTCACCTAAGATAATTGCGTTTTAGGCAAGCTGAATTTACTTTTTTTGAATTTTTTTGACTGCATTTTTGGTAAAAGCTTCTCAGATCATGATTTCATGTAATATGGACCCAAAAACAATCGTTGCACACATCAGTATACACACAGACACACACAGACATACAAACACATATAATTGACCTTGACCTAACTTGACCTGAAATGACCTCAGTAGCAAAATTATGGTCGGGTAGTGTGACAAAGAGGTTCTAGCTGGCTTGGCACCAGAAAACAGCATCGTCATCGGTATTTGATAAGCAGCACACTTGATATCCAACGGTGACCCAAAACAGCAACATTTTTTAGTTTGACCTGACCTGGAAGGTCAATGACTGACCTGAGAAGGTAAAACTGGGTATCATTGGATTCGTCTCTTCCCAAAGAATCTTTTTGGTCTTTACTGCTAAGCTCTATCTCCAACAGGAACGAAATGGCGCGGGGGGGGGGTGGCAACCACCCCCCCCCATGTGCGTTCTAGGATGGGAAAATGGCATGTGCGGGCGAGGGTTAAGACGTTTCCATGAGTTTTGAAGGTATGGATAAGTTCTAAAAATCCGGTTCTCCTTATCTGGGCCATTAACTCCATACGGTCCAGGAAAGCTGGCACACTACCTTTAAAGCAAAGACAAAAGGTGAATTTATTTCTATCAAATGTGCTACATACTGAACTACAGCCGTGGTGCCACTGGTTGTGTTACATAACTTGAGAAATGTCCCGAACTGTTTCACATGCTGGTGGCTGGTCTGCCGAATTTTGTCGAGATCGAATTACAGGTCTGTGGAACTGGATCACAACGCTGCTCTACGTTTCAGGTGCCTCCCAAGTCGCGGACCGAATGTGTTAGCTGTCGGCAAGTGGTCTGCCAGAGCTGCGGACGACACACGGACGCCGGGCCGTATCAGGTCAGTGGCACACGGACGCCGGTCCCTATCAGGTCAGTGGCACACGGACACCGGGCCCTGCCAGGTCACTGGGACAGGCGGACGCCGGACCGTATCAGGTCAGTGGTACACCGGACACGGGCGCCACACGTTATTAGTGTCAGTGCCATGGCAGGAAGGGAGAGTCCTCGATCGTGGCTCATATAACCCCAGCGCTCCTCTCCCCGTCACCTGACATTTAAAATATTTAAATCTAACGAATAGTGTTTGTCTTTTTCAAAGTTCAAACTTGCGGTTTCACACTGCCCACTGTCTACCCACAACGCTTGTATGGCAGCTCCATTTGGCGTCTTATTCTGGAGCACGTCGGTTCATTTATTTTATTTTCATTATATATGACGGATTTGCTAACCCCTCTTGCATATCTGCAAATGTCTAAACTACGACTGCGCTACCGGATCATTTGCCAACGTCCATTCCATCATTAATCCGCTGCTGGATAAGCTCGGAACTTATTAGCTTGGCAGTTCTCCCCAGCTTATGTTGCTAAATTTACTTCACTACTATTTTTGTACAAATTTATCCCTCGCCGGCGCAGGGGGGGGGGGGGGGGTTGATGCAACCCCCCTAAGGTTTTCGCGAATAACTCACGTAAAAAGCGGCCGATCGCGACGAAACTCTCAGTACCCTCGCATTGATCAAATTTACACCTACCCTAAAAATTTCATGACCTTGACCCAAATGACCTTTGACCTGTGACCTCTTTTCCGTGACCATGTTTGGCCGAAATCGCGATCCGGCGTATGTCGGCTCGCATTAACCGCGCGTTTGCAAGCTTTTCGTGGTTTCAAACGTTCAAACATGTGATTTGATGTTGCTCCCATGCATTAGGGTGGGTGTCAAGGTCACCTGAAGGTCAGGTCAGGTCATTGACCTTTGGTGACCTCGGTTCACTTTTTCGAGTTTTGCATGTTTCTAGGCTAGTTTTTGGAGCTGAATTTGAATTTAGCAACCATTTGAACATTTACGAAGTAGTTTTGGTGCCTTGGCAACATGTTACGAAGCTGTCAGAGGCGGATGACAGGTACTACGAATACCCGTCACGACCCCTACCGGTTGACCTGACCTGACCTGACCTGTTCTGACCCGACCTGGTCTAAACTCTTAACGACATTATCTGTGATCAAAACTAACACGATATTCGTGATCAGCACCCCGGAAAACCCCTTAGCAGCCACGTTTTACGACTTTCTAACAGGTCCCGATATTCACGATTTTTGGGTCATTGACCTGACCTGGAAGGTCAACCGATGACCTAGGACCTTAAAATTGGGTATCATTGGCTTCCTCTCGTGACGGGCAGCACGCTCGTTTTTTTTTCCGCGAAGCTCTAGCTCCATCAGGGGTCAAACGCGAGGGGGGTCGTACCCCTTGTGTCGCGGGGTTATACCCCTTGTGCCGTCGAAGGATTCAGAATGGCCTGTGCCGGCGAGGGTTATGACACCATTTCCCTTCAACTACGCGACGGATGTCTTTCCTAGCACAATGAACTGTGCTTCAGGCATGGCCGGAGATGACAGACCCACCACATGTGCGGCTCTCAGCCTCTCCGCACATGCCATGACAGGTCCTCAACACGTCGCACGTTCTCGGCACATGACAGGCCCTCAACACGTAACAGGCCCTCTGCACATGACAGGCGACGGCAAGTTCCCATTTTCCTCTCCGTCCTCGACAGGCCTGGGGCTACTCTTCAGAAGGTCTGTCTGCACTAACCTTCAGAGCTGGGAGGATCTTTTACTCTCTGGAGCTGGAGCTGGTATGGGGTTATTGCACTATCCTACAGGACTAGGAGGGCGTCTCATCGACTGATTCTCCCTGCGGATGGTCGAGCGGCGAGAGGCACACCACACCCCGCGACATCCTGGAATTGGCTATCGTCGCACGCATATTGGTGGATTACCAGGCGCAATTGTGCTGCGTCGGAGGGCCGGACACCGCGGCCCCTCAGAGGATGGCCCGCCTTCAGCTTGTGAGGGGACGCGACAGGGACGCAAAGGCTTACCGACTATGCGTCCTCTGACCTTCGCTACATGTCACACTATCGTTTTTTAGCGTTGCTGCGCTTTAAACAAGAAGAAATGACGCGCTATTAATGAGATTGAGCTGCTGGATCAAAATTTCAATAATCGCCGTTGTAGCCAGTCGTGCTTCACCAGCGATCGTGAAAACATATAGGATATGACTTGCATAGTCATAAACCAGTGACACACCCTACAGACTGTACTTTTTAAACTGTTGGCCTCACTCATGCTAATTATGCTACTCTCGAGTCTTAAGTGAGTGACGTAATTCATTTCATTTCAGGACTCAGAGTGGCTGTGCAACAAGTGCTTTGAGGTGCGGAAGACGGCCATCGCGTCTGGTTCGTACCCGATGCGGACAGCGGCTGCCACTGGGCCAGGTCCTGGGCCTGGTCCGGGCTTGGGGCCGGGCCAGGTGCGGCCAGCAGTGCCCGGCGGAACGACGCCCATGAAGATGACGGCCCCGGGACAGCCGCAGGTGAGTATTTTACCGTCCGCCGGCCTGCAGCTAGCCGGCTCCATGTCCTAACGGCCGTGGGCCTGGCTAACCGTCTCCCTGTCCTAACGGTCGTGGGCCTGGCTAACCGGCTCCACGGCCCAGTGGCCATGGGCCTCCGGTTAACCGGCTCCATCGCCCCGCCGCGATCGTCTGCCGACCTGACCTGAATGGCCCATTATAACCTCCATCAGTGGCGGATCGGGAAACCGCGCCCTGCTCAACCCCCAACATCCGGCGTCCTGACATATGTAGGTACCATCTCCCAGGGATATTTTCTGTGTGAAATGGATCCTGCTATGTTGTTTGGGCTGTATGTATGGCCTGTTGGAAGTAAGCATTCTAAGCAAACATCGACAACGAAATCCGAATTTTCGAACGAGAAAGCTAGTCACTGAAATAACCACTTTCCTCGTTGATATATGAATGCATCACCTATGCCCTTTTTTAGTTAATTTTGTCGGCAAGACAGCTTAAATTTCACCTACAATGCTTTAGTTTTCTTATGTTACCAGTGGAACTTTGCAATAATGTCACTCATTCGGAGAAATGCCTCTTACACCAGACATGCGACATTGCAACAACGGTCATCGCTATGGACAAAGAAGACATCGCCGACATGATTGATGAAACAGCTCCGAATGATTTGATGTTACATTGGTTTGAGCTTCTGAATCGTCGTGAGCTGTACAATTATACTAATAGATGTTATGCAGGTGGTTAGCTGAAGCATGCCAGGGATTTTGAATCGCTTTTTATTTTATCATACATGCAGATGTTTCAGGTAACAGCTTCATTTAACTGGGAGCATCGTTTTATTTGTAAAGGGATATGCAACCAATCGAAACCTTCAGTATAACAGCTGACAGTCTTGACAGCTGAGCTTTGCGTGGTCACTCATCGGCAGTCCTTGTATGCAAAGTGTTCCCCTGAACAAATTAGGGGTCTCTGTCAACACCGCGGACACTTATGAAACGTCATTATTGAAAGGAAGGTTATCAACGTTTCCATGAGATCAGAAGTATCGTCTTCTGCTAGGTATGTACTCGTATGTTCTATCGTCTGTCAGAGAAGCGTATTTTTGGAGCTTCAATAGAGGCGCTATTAAATCTCGTCCAGGGCCCTGGCTATGCTTATTTAGGGGATTATTAGGTACATAAGCCATTTAACAAAAACGCAATGCGTTTCACACTTGCTTCACGGGGCTATTTGCACTGTTCAAACTCTGGCAGTTACTCTGGCAGTTACTTCTCTGGGCGGTTAACCTTACATGATCGGCGAACTATAGTCTAATTTAAATTGTGAAATATCTCAAACGTCTTCGGTGTGACCAAAAACTTCGATGGCGGGGCTAGATGACCGGCGGTTATCAATTGCAGAGGGATAGTTTTTAACGAAAAAACCTTATCACTTCACCCTTTAAAGGGATTCATATTTTAATAGGCATTCATATTTTAGCATATTAGCAAATTGGACCTAATAGCGCTCATTCATATCTAGTGATGATTAATTAGAAGACAAATGTATCAGGATACGGCGAATTTTCCGTCGAAAGCCGTTGTAAATCTAGTTATATGACACACCCTACAGTATATATCACATCATATCTGCTGGAAATTAAATTATAAATGAGAGTCCATCACCAACCGACTTTGACCGAGAAAAGTGCAGGTCAATGCAAGAAGCTTCACATTATAGGGCAAAGCATATTGTTTATTGTATAATGTACTATCTTGTGCTATCTTTTCCATTTTTTGATATTCGTTCATTTATTCTAAATTAATTAAACACCGTATGTGTGCCATTAAAAGTCTCACAGTTTATTGTGATTTCAGATGTCTCACAGCTCGGTTAATGTTTCATAAGCACATTTTTATCCTTATTCATTTTAGGGTGCTTATTTGTGTCAATATAATTTGATAAAGCAGCAGGAACATGTACTTTACGAAACAATGCATGTATTTTGTATTATCTCTAAGTAAATCATTTGGTTAAAACGCTTCTGTACCGGTATACTCGTAAGCTCCTTATTCCGCGCATTGATTTCATTATTTCGTCCGTGTTGATAACAGTGGACCATCAAGCCCACACTGAAAACAATTTCACCCAAAACTGGCGAGTAAACCGGTGCCTCGCGGGTACCCCTATCCGCAACCATTTTTAACCACCCTGCCAGGAGTCAATTTAGGACATAACACTTTCGCAATTCACTCTGGAGAGTAGTTACCCTCCACGACTATTCGCGCACCAGTGGCTCGCGACCCCTCCATCGAAAGGTATTCATCGACGCCTACCTGGCAGCAGCGCCCCACAAACACCTAGGAGATGGGGTTACCCTCCACCTACCCGTCGCCGACCAAGTCACGAGGGCCAAAAAAACTCCCACGCTTGACCATATTTGCGGGAAAATATCTATATTATAGCAATCTCACACCTAGAAAACATCGGTGAGAAAGTTTCACATCGGTGGGAAAGGGCAAATCGAATTCCCATAGAAATTTCGACATGACTCAGTCACCGGCAGTCATCCAGACCGCCCGAAATCAGAAAGATGTGTCGCCGCTGCTTTCGTGACCTATATAAGAATCAAAATGGTCTCACTTGGTAGTTTCGGAAGAAAAAGCGTTGCCAATCGTCCCGTGATGAATATTGCAGAGGTTTTAAAGATGCACCCTAACAATTGTACTTTCGCCCCCACTTGCAAACCGCCAAACAATGTGCCAACATATCATTGGTTCAAAAAAAAGTTAAAAAATTGTTGTAATTCAAAACTGTATGAGACAACGCCATCTAGTTGTAACAGTAGATCCAACTCCTTCAGGGCAGGTTATGTAAAGGTTCGCCATCCACGGATACGCGTTTACGATACCTCGAGTAGTTCCAACTCTTTCAGTGAGGGCTATGCCAATGACTCGACACCCGCGGGGACAATATCCGGTGCTGGGTAGCTACCTAACTGCAAAATGTGGGTACAGTGCATATTTACGAGTAATAAGGCAGGCAAGTCTGCTTACCCTCTAGCTAGAATCTGGACATGGCGAGTTAATACACATATACCACCCGCAGAGCAACGCTTAATTCGCCAGCTTCGGGTGAAATTGTTTTCAGTGCATAACCGACACTTAACTTGTCATTTTTATTAAATCAAGCTGCAGATAAACACAAGTGGCGTTCCGTTGTGTAACGGTGTCACGTCGTTGAGTGTGGCCGTCAATACTCTGCACTATAGATCCAGGTGGGGTCCGGCACGCGGCGCGGTCGGGCCGGCAGTCGGCACTCACCGTTCAATGGCGGTCGATAGAGACGGCACGAGCCATCGGCCGGGCACGAAAACACCACCCCGGCCACCGCCGGGCCGCCCGCCCATCCGCCGGCCCGTGGGGTGCGCCCAATTAGGTCAGCCACCCGCACCCAGCGCGCTCTGCTGCCGGCCGAGCGGCGCTCTGCAGCGGGGCTGCCGCTCACAGGTCACCGGCTCAACTCTCACATTCACAGCGGCACATTTGTTACTGCTGAAACATTGGAGCATACTCTCACCTTTATAGATTATGATATATTATTCTTTTGATTCTATACTTTTAGGAAAATAGATCATCTGAAACAGAGTTTTAACCTGATTGCATACAGTAACAGGTGGATATAAATCTGCGCACGTTTGCGACCATTGCGTGCTGTCTGCGCGTGGGCGTCGTGCGTGGGCCGGTCCCGCTAGTGAACCGCCTGCGGCGCCCGTCGTTAAGGTGTCGGCCGGGCCCGCGGCCGCCAGCGGCGCTCCATAGCTCGCATGACACCATCGTATTCCGCCTCCCCTAGTCAGTCCTGAGTCAGAGTGGTTTCCTGGCTGAGTCACAGTCAACAGTCAGTGTTTCCATCGTCAATGCTAATTACTGTCGACAAAACTACCGACGATGATCCGCCACTTTGAAATACTCATCTATTTGTGTTGCTGCCATGCAGTTGCATTTTACGTGTCGGATGACCATATAACCAACACCACCTCGAGAAAGGGCACTGTCGGGCATGACAGGCCGACATGGCCAGGCCGTGCCGGGCGGGCGGACAGTGGTCGGCCGTCCCGCCTAATTGGGCGAGCCGACAGTAGCCAGCCGCCCAGCCCCACCGACGCCACTCGAGTTGCTCACCATGCACCACACTGTTCCTGGGCCGGCTGACAGGCCGTTCCCAGCCCCGCCAACCGATGTCGACAGCCCAGATTAGGTGCTAATGCGGCCTTGCTATTATTGGGTCGGCTGCTCTAATTGATTCACTTTAGTTTGTTTGCGGAAGGTGTAAGCGTGTCGGTCAACTTTAAGAAGGCTGACTTTTATAGACGTGCGACCGTGATTTGGAGGGGAAAACGACCGCTTGGTGCCATATTAGCTGTAATCTGTCTAAATAGAAACACATTGTGCAATTTTGTAGTCTGATGAGTGAAATGACCATGCTAAGTCATGTTCAGTACCTAATGCCGACACATCGGGTCAGATTCTCCAACCGGTGACCGGTCCAATGTTTTTACAGATGGCCAACGGATCTCAGCAGCGTCAGTTTGCCACCGCTGGCGGTCAAAGTGAGTACATTGAGCGCGGCTCCTCGGCCGACCCCGCCGCCCGCTGTCCTGTCCCGGCCCATCCTGCGGGCGTCGTCCCGGCGCGGGTGCGCGCTCCACGGCCCCGCGGCCCCGGCCCCGGCCAGCGACCGCCGCGGCCCCGGCTGGCGGGGCCGCGCGGCGCCCGGCCGCGGCTCCGGCAGCCCCGGCCGGCCGGTCCGCCGCCGCACCTGGCTGCCGCTCACCAGGACGGGTCGCAGCGCTGGCCTGGCCCACCGCCAGCAGCGGCACCGATCCCCGGCGCCGAGCAGACCGCTGGGAGGCCGGCAGCCGGACACCAGCCCGGTCCGCCGCAGCAGCACGGCGGCCAGCCCGGCCCTCAGCAGTCGCCGTCTCCTGGAGCGGCGCATCAGCTCGGAAACTCACCATCCTCTCAGCTGGCTCCGGACCCCGCCAGAACACAGCCCTCGCCTTCCCAGATCAACGCCAACCACCCCGCTGCGCCGCCCACCTCCCAGCCGGACCTCAATCAAAACAGCACCCAGCACTCCCACCCTCCGACCAGCTTGTTTCCGCAAAACGCTCAACAGGACAGCCCACCGGCGGCTCCGTTCCCGGCGGTGTCAGCGGCGCCGGGATTCCTATCGAACGGCCAGCCGCAGCACTGTCAGTCCACGACGGCTCCTCACGGCCCGCAGCCGCCGAGTTCTCACACAGTCGTGGGGCCCGGCGGCTCACCGCACGCGGCCGTCACGCTCGGCCAAAGCGGCACTGCCCCGCCTGCCGCTCCGCAGACGTCAACACCTAACCAGCCCAGAGCTCCAAGTCGATCGGAACAGTCACCTTCCCCTGGCGCCGCGAAAAAGCCCCAGATCAGCAAGGTGGAACGGACGTTGGACAGCTTCTTCGGGAAGACTGACAAGCTGCTAGCCAAGTTTGACAAGACGCTGACCGAGAAACTGCTGGACCCGTCGCACGTGTCGCCATCACCCCCGGTAACCAGTTCCGGTCCTGCCACTGCTGTCACTACAACCGCCGCAAAGTCACCGGCTTCACTTCAGCAGCAGCAGCAGCAACAACAGCAACAGCAGTTCCAGAATCAGCAGCAACAGCAACAACAGCTTCAGCAGCAGCAACAACAACGACAGCAGCAACAGATACAGGAGCTACAACAGCAGCTGCAGCAGCAGCAACAACAGCAGCAGCTCCAGAATCAGCAGCAGCAGCTTCAAAATCAGCAGCAGCTTCAAAGTCAGCAGCAGCAGCCGCAGCCGCAGCCGCAGCAGCAGCAGCAGCAGCAGCAGCAGCGACAGCCGTCTGACCGAGGCCTGTTGAGCAGTCTGCAGCTCAGTCTGAAGGGTAAGGTGTCGGAGGGTCTCGGTGGTCTGAAGCCGTCCGTCCAGCCCCCGGCGGCTCTCCGCAATCTGCACACGGACGTCAGTCAGTCCATCAGCCTGTCGGCGCAGGCTCTGCGCGCTGCCGAGGCGCGCACCGCCACCCCCGGGCGGGACCAAGTACAAATGGCCGGTCAGACCGCCGTATCGGCGGCCACATCCAGCCCGTCTTCCTTGTCGGCACAGCTGAGCAGTCAGCAGCAGGAGCAGCTGATGCAGCAGCAGCGCCTTCTGCAGCAGCAGCAGGAGGAGATCGCGCGCCTGCAGCAGCTGCAGAAGGAGCGCGAGCGCGAGCTGGAGTTGAAGGCCGAGCAGCAGAAGCAGGAGTACCAGCGCCAGCTGCAGCTCAGTCGGGATCAGCAGCAGGCTGCTCAGACGCAGGTCGCCGCACAGATTTCGACGGCGTCGTCCGGGACCAAAATTTATGTGCCAACGCCGCTGGTTGCGGTCGCCGCCAGTGGGAAGCAGCAGACTGCCGCCGACCCTCTATCGCTACTGAGGCCTTCCGTGAGCTCCAGCTCGAGCGCACCGCCCGCCGGAGAGACGATACCGCCTTCCACCTCCGCAGGCAAGGGTCCGCCCTCCTCCTCAGAGTTCGTCGGTAGCGACCCAGACTTCGAGAACCGCATGTCGCGTCGGAAGCGGTTCCTGCAGCACCTGGCGTCACTGGGAGCCGAGACGGACTCGCCGCCGAGTCCGGGCGAGTCACCGCTGCTGGCGCTCGAGTCGTGCTCCGATCGACTGGCCACACCGTCTCCCATGAGCAGTGTCGGTAGGATCGACGACGAGACGCCGTTCTCGGAGCGCGAGCGGCCCAGCTCGGCGCCAGAGATCAAGGCGCGCTCGCAGTTCTCCAGTCGGTTCGGTGTGCACATACCAGCCGGCTTCCTGGACATGGCTGAGGACGACCTGGAGCTGCGGCCGCCGGCGCCTTCCCCACTCGACCGGTTCCGGAACGGGCCGAGAGACATGTCACCGGCGCGGACCAAGGACGCGCAGCCAGACATACAGAGAGAAACATCACCAGCGCGGACCCGGGACCCGCTGCGGGATATACCCGCAGACTCGCCGCGGGAGGCGCCGCGAGCCGCGGTTAGGGACGGGCCGCGGGAGAACACGCGGGACGGCGCCCCTGTCCTGCCCACCTCCTTGAAATCTCCCCGGGCTCGGACCACCCTGCAGGCGTCCCCGATCCCGCACCCGCCGCCGGCGGTCACGCCGGCCCTGTCCCCGCCGCTGCCGGAGCGTGACCCGAGCCACGTGCTGCGCTACTGTGACGTCGAGAGTGACGAGGAGAGCGACGAGTCGTCGGGGCCGTGCTCGGTGGTGCTGGAGGCCAGCCCCGGCGCCGTCTACACCATTGAGGAGGATGAGGAGGAGGCGGGCACGCCCACCGCTGCCGACGGCGTCTCCCGGCGCAGAACCTCAGGTGAGCAGAGCCGGCCGCCGCCCCCCCCCCCCCCGCTGCCCCGCGACTATCGCGCCCAGCTACCACTGGCTGCTTATCGAGCCGTCCTATATGGGCCGCCGCCGCCTCTCTTTACGGACATTTTCCATAAAACTTTTACCATAGAAGCTTTCAGTGGCCATTCTGCAGTATGTGCACCGAAATGTAATACCCAGAGTTTTTCCAGACGTTCTTTCTATCCGCCTTTGCTTTAGTGGCGCTCTTTAGTGGCGTTTTGCAGTCACTCGGATGGCTTGAATGCGGAGCTAGCTTCTGTCAGTGAGGGTGCTGGTGGGCGTCGAAGCACCACCGGCCAGGGCGCGGCACGGCACCGGCTGGGCAGGGGACACCTCCGTCCTGCGTCCGACCCTCGCCGCCGTCGGGACTGCCCGCACCTCCCCACCTCCTGCCTGCCACCTCCACACCTCCTAAACTCCACAGCCGCGTCCCGTGTCCAGCGGCAGCACGATCCCTGTCAGACATCTGGCCGGACCTTGAATCGAACACTCGTCAGGATGTAACGCTGTTATGAGCGTAAGCTGGAGAATATGATCTGAGTTCGATTACAGCTGCATTGTTTTGAAAAAAAAACGACTTTTCAGCTTCCTTTAGAGGTACAATGCGAAAAATTAAATATGCGCAGTGCAAGTAAACATATCTTGTTAAATTAATGCCTATGTTGAAGGTTTCAACTATATATCAAACAGCTTTAGAAGATAAAAATACAAAAATGCCCTACCTCGAAAACGGAAGTACTACTTATCATCAACTGACGAGCTTTTATGGTGACAACAATAACAAAGGGACAGTACTTGTTCGAAGTATTGTAAAAATGCCGTTTAGAGTGTTCAGATTTCGCAATGGTTTGACCCACTTTAGCTGGATGACACAGTGAGCCTGAAATCTGCATTACTAATCGATACCAGCAGACTGGTCGTTTTAGGTCATTGCCAGATCGAACGGTCCACTGGAACGTTGCTGGTAGCAATTGTCCTTCAACCGGCAGCCATGTGCCCTACAATCGGCAGTTTGGCCATGGTGCTCAGTGCTCACCTAATACCGCTGTAGGGAAGCATTAGGAACCCATGCCGAACGGTGAACATACCGCACATACATACAACTGAAACTCTGCTGTTGAACAAGTGGGGCAGCCTACAACCGGTTCAACTAAAAGAAACAAAAATTAGGAGAAAGCTTTTCAATGTAGCAGTGGTGTTTTTCTTCGATTTATTTCTGTTTTAGTAGGCTGAATGTCACTTATAAATCTGTTCTTTGCGAGGTTTAGGTGCCGGTTTTAAATACATTTGCTTAGCGCCCACATATGTATTTGCATTTGCGATGCTGGTCAACAGAACGTAATATTTTAGTGCATCCGAGAGTGTGTTTACATGATTATCGTATGCAGAAATATCATCCTGAATTAATTTATATAAAATGCACCTACATCGCGGTCAGTTTAGCTGAATGGCTATAAGTAACGCATACACACCGCAGACACTTACACGAACCGAAAAGCATGCACAATGCACGCCCAAATGTGGTTACACATAAGTGTGCGTTAGTCTGTTTGTACGTGTCTTGCGGAATGCTGTGTAGCATGGGCGCGCTGACCGGCTATCCATACCAGTCTGTAGCATGAACGTATGGAAAAACTCTGGAGGCATCGCTAAACGGCGATGAATATCTGGCTAGTGCTGCGTGCAAACAAAATGTTCAGCTGTGGGACATAAAAACTCATCGACATAAATAGTGGGTGCATATGCTAAGCGGTATTTGAATGTCTAAGACAAAGCAGCATACCTACAAAATGCCTTTAATTGGTGGGAAAACACCGCTGTATGACTGTTTAGTTAGATTTTGGAGGAGACACCTTTGAGAATTAGAGATGACGACTAAGTGGAGTTTAACCCAAAACTGAGCAAGTCTACGTAACTTAAATCATTGTCCAGGGCTCCCATGTTCAGCAAAGTCTTTATCATACGAAACATTCATTCTAGACATGTCCAGCGTAATTGCGATGCATTGAAATATGTTGAGATTGGAGCGAGGAAGCTCCGGGACATTCCGTCGTCGCCGCCGGTGGTTATGACTCTGACCTGATTAAAATCGAGGATGAAGAGGCACTTTTTCGGGAATTATGGGGCTGTTTTAAAATGTGCCTCGCCGACCGGGATAGCTGCCGTTTCCGGTGTTAATATATACGGGGGCGTCGTGTAGGTGATGGAAGCCATGCTGGGCATCCCGACTCGCAACAGGCAGAAGGGCACATGAGCAGGCAGGCGACGCGGAGCAGACAACTGTGCCGGCCGGCGCGGGCCGGTCGTCGGCTCGGCAGCCGCTCCGGAGCGGCCGGGCTGATCAATACGAGGAGACCCCTGGCGGCGGCCGGCGCTGCCGCCGCCGCCCACCGCCCACCGCCGCCCACCGCCCACCGCCCACCGCCCGCTGCCCGCCGCCCGCCGCCCATGGCCCGCCCTTGGCCCGCGGTAGGTGAACGGGCCGGGCAGGGACGGGCTGCCAACACGCGCGGGGTCAACTGCCGGCCTCACACATCGGTCTGTTTACCGAACACAAATCGGACCAGTCACTGTTCAGTGACTGGTATATAATAAAGGCTTCAAAGCCTTTATTTTCACTTCATGAAATATGCATTTTTTTCCATGGAAAGCAACGCGCGGTGTACCTATGACCCTCGCATTTTTTTTTTCCGGTGTTCATGGATTTATGTTGTAAATGATGAAAACCGGGCCAAAAAACTTACACCTACTTTGTCATCACTCATTCAGTTGACTATTTCATTCCCCTAAAGATATTAGTACGGTTATTTACACCACCACTATTGTCCACTTCATTCAAGTCCGTTACTATCCTATTAAATAAATTTGATATATCGCTCTACGCTCCACTGGGCTACTTATAGAGGTTCTATATCCGTTGCTCTATTTAAGCCGAGGCTCTATAGTGGCGATATTGTGCATTAACTGCTTCTTTCAAAGTCGCGTGATCGATTCACTGGAGGCGCGGTCCCCGGGGGCCGGGCGGCGGCTGTCTTCTTTCACTGCGCGCCTCTCCGTGCAGCTGTATGCAGCGCCACGGTTCAATGAGGTAAGTTGATTGCATAGTTACCAGATTTAGCTGGCTCCGGCTGGCTCCGAGGCCGGCGATCGCTCCGGCCGGTCTGACTGACCCGTCCTGCCGATCCCGCCCGGTCCTTCCCGACCCGTCCCGCCCCTGGCCCAGCCGATGGCCGTAGTGACGTCTAAACAGACTCTAGCTCTGATCTAGCTCTCCGAGTGCCGGCGGCCGTTCAGTCCGAGTCACGCTGTAGTGATGTTTACCGAACAGTGCTGATGTGAGTCTGTCTGATGACCCCTCGATCGCTGACCTCCTGCCACGGCGGGGCCGCTTTCCAGGGGACCTATCCGAGCAGCTGTCGGTAGCTGGCGTCCAGAGGTCGCAGTTCACCACCCAGCGCTCTCTGGACGGCGGCTCCAGGACACTGGAACCGCTGCCCCTGTCCGCTCCAGGCAGCAACGGTGAGCGACATTGGCAATCACAACGGGTCGGTCTCAAATGTAAAGGCTGTCGGGCGTATAAGGCGTTTCGCCTTGTGCTCAACAGTTATGCATAACATGCGACTGTTAAAGTGCATACGAGTTTGTACAGCTGCCTAAAGGAATGAACTTTCACTAGCACTTTACATCTGTTTCCATTCAATTTCATTCCCATTTTTAACTGAAAGACTGATGTTCTTATAAGAAAGCAATTTGACATGTGAGGAACTGCTGAGATCTTCGAGGCTTTTTCCGTTGGCTTAAATATGAGTTTCACTAAGGCATAGAACGATGGCTCCTGGCTGATGGCGTGGGCAAAATGGATTTTTAACGTTGTCCAGGAAAGTTATTAGATAATCAGGTAAAGAGCTTATTAAACAATACATGTTATTTACAGATTTCATTTATGACATTGCGTCACTGTTGACTAGCGTGATGTGCAGTGGGTCTGCCAATTTACCATAATTATTAATTACCCACTCTCGTCTATCTAAATCAACGTTATTGTGGTGAATGCAATGCACACAATAGACACTCGGGACTGTGCTCTTCTGTCGCAGTCGATTCCCGACTGGTTATGAGTGGCCACTGACCACCGCTGTCACCTGCCGCTTCTTTGTTCTCCGTCAGGGACGGCCCCGCCAGCGTCCAGCGGTCCACTGAGCAGCGTCAGCTCGTCTCTGTCAACACAACATGGAACGACGGCGTCACATAACACCGATCCAGGGACACGGTGAGTAGAGGGTGGCAGCGGGGCGCAGACGGCGCGGGTACAAACGGCAACGGGGCTCAACCGGCGCCGAGACACATGACTCGGAGCCACAAAGGCACCGGGGCGCAACCAGAACCAGGGCGAGGTTGCTGGGGTAACACTGGCGGTGGGGCACTCGAGCGACACGAGCCACGGTGGGTGGGATGATACGGGCCCGCGTTGGCCGCAGCGTGTCAGGGCTCCGCCATACTGGGACGCGTCAGACGGCCGCCGAATGACCACCATAAAGGCCCAGTATCGGAGGGTCAGCGCGCGGCTCCTGCGGCCCCAACGAGGCCATCACCGGCCGGGCGGGACGGAGCCCACGAGATGACGCGCCGCGCCGGCACCGCGCCATTGAGATGTGGGACGCCGAGCGGTGTGCCGCCGCGATTGACGATTACATTTCTATGCTGAGAAAGGAGATATAGCTGCTGCATCGTAAGTGGACGGCGGCAAGCAATCTCAGCATAAGCTGCATTCATCAGACTGTCTCGAATTTCTGTCTTATGAACGTAAATATTTCATTTTGACTTTTTAGTCACGAATAATCATATGCATTATAATATGATAATTACAGTGTTTTATACCAGTCAAACATTTTATTTGCCCCCTATTCCATAAGTTTCATATTTACAGTTATGCTAACTTTTTAAAGCATTTCTAAGTAAGTTTTTATGCTATAACATTTTCTATCGGCGAAACGCTAAATTTGCACATAAAATGCATGCGAAGCTGAGACAATTTCTTGCTCATAAATGCATTTGTATTATAAGTTTACCTGTGCTAAGCGGATGATTGTAGTGTTCCTCCTTTACCTTTCAGTCGACGCCCTATAATCGACCCCCCCCCCCCCGTCAACCCGCCTCTTGACGGCGTTGCATTTAGACAGTGAACCACTCTGCGTGAAGTCGTGCGGCACAGTCTATCACTTCAGGCGCTCACTACTGGTGACACCTAGCGGCGAATTTATAAGTAGACTCATATATGTCTGTTGCAATGATGGGCCTTTGCGCACGGGGCACACCCATTGTCAGACGGTTCTGACACGTTCATGGGTATTGGGTGATAATGGTGATAATGGTGAGCGATGGAATTATTATTTTTTTTTTGCACGTAAGTTAAATTTATATTCACCAGCTGCGCATTTGCACTGGAAGCATAACTGGCCCACGACTATCGATCGAAAATAGATTTGTTAGTCACATAATTGTTGACCTATGAAACCTAGGTATCCACTATCAATGAACCTTCCGCGTTGGTATGCCTTTTTCAGAAATTTAAAATTTGAGCAATGATTGCAACATTATGACAGTACTGCTCTCAAAATGCAACTGGTCCTATATCAATATGTATTCTCATAATCAGCGTAAGTAATTGTTTCCGACACTGCCGTTGGTATCATTGGGGCCACCAACATGACTGAACTCCCCAGACTCTCAGGACTGTTCTATCTGCAGTCCTCATCCTTGAGACCACCTCTTGTCAACTGTGCCTTCCAGAGCCGCGAAGTGTCAGCATTCAGCGTGCCTTTAGCGGTAGCCCATAAGACAGGTCCCGAAAACCATGACGAGATGGTGTGCGGTACAGCATACCACTTCAGGCGTCCACTACTAGTGACATCTAGCGGCTAATCTCTAAGTAGAGATGCCTGTAACTGAGATGGCACTCGCCGCTGTATGGTTAGATAGCTACTCTGAATAACTTGCGCGAATCACAGACCTTTTTTTCGAAAATACATGGGTATATGGCATTTTAAGACATTTTACCTTGACCTTTTCATCTTTGGTTAGGTCTTTTCGATTTCATGCAACCATTGCACTTTGCAGGCCCACATGGGAAGAAAGGAGAGGTTGACCCATAGGTAGGTATTAAGCTTGTTTGGCCGCCTGCCGATGCTCCGCAGTGGCTGGGTCTGTCCCTTTGAGATGGAAATGTGCCGATGGGACAGGGCACCCAGCCACTCCAGTGGTCATGCCACCAGAAGGACTATCATTGGTTTGCCCTATACTGGTGTATAGGAGGCCGTTAGCATACACAAGCCCGTGTATGTAAATGTTTTGAACAGAGGTAAGGATGTGCTGGCTCTAAAGGTAGGCAGCAAGGATAATCATGACTGGCGCATGGGGGGGGGGTGTGTGAGTCATGCTCATTCGCGCATATGACTGGCGGTGGGGGACTCTACAGAGCCCCCTCCCGTTTTTCTGCAATATCTTCTAAACCGCTTGCCGTATCAACACGAAACTTGCAGTACCTTCAGCGGAATTAATTTGACACATTTTGATTAAATGTAAACTTTCTTCCTATTATAGATCGGCCGAAAATGACATCACTCTGACGTCATGTCGGCCGAGTTTGATGCAAAACATTGAACTAGGGTAATCGCTCTCCAAAGTTCAGTTTTTAAGCTAGATGCAATTTCTTTGCATGAGTCGACTGCGAATACACGTGGAGATAACAATCAAATTATCTCAGATTTTCAAAATTTTGAAAATTTCGGAAAATACAATAGACATTAAAATTTAAAAATATATTTTTTACTTTTTTCAAAAATTGTTTTACTTAACCCTATTAGTGGCAGGCTCCTGGCTACCCCATATTAGTGGCAGGGGGGGCTGTTTACGACCCCCCCTTGATATCTCGAGATCTAACCGGCCGATTTTCAAAATTCAAACGGCATTCGATTTGGCTCAACGAGATCTACATTTCTAAAAAAAAAAACAAATTAAAAAATGTCAATAGGGGGTAGAGGGGGGTAAAAACGGGCAAATTGCAGATACATTTTAGACTGTTTATCACGGCCAGGTTTCTGAACCAATCTTAACGCAACTTTTGCCGATCGATAGAGAATGAACCAGGAATTCACATGAATCCTAAAAATATGCATTTTCAAAAATCATAGGCGGATACAGATCATTGAGATTGGGGGTACACAAAAAGTATAGTAAATAAGGTTTTTGTTGGTACTGTTTCTAAAAAGGGTGGCAATGGTCTTGTTATGTTACAATTTTCTTATGAGAGAACGACTAAAATTGTATTGGTCATGCATAGGCGGTGTCAGGGCACCTATGTTGGGAGGTAAAAAATAACCCCCCTTTTTGGACACCTGGATCCGCCTATTATAGCAAAAACGTGTCAAAAGAGGATGCACAATAACTTTGTATATGTTATCACATGATACCTTTCATTCACTGTTCGTAAAACTGGTGCAGCATCGTGATCTTCGCCCAAATGACTCGCTTCACGAATAGGACCCCCCAATTCCCAGTGCTCTGGAGCCGCCCCTGGTAAAGTTATGAACTTGAAATTTTCAGGGAATGTGCCCAATTTAGTTTTAGGAAAAGTCAGAAAATTTCAGCATCGTAGCTTCAGCGGTTTCGGAGATATTCCCGAAAAACCTGAGGGGTGGATAAAAACAACCCCCCCCCTGCCACTAATAGGGTTAAAAAATGGAACATAGGTAGGGGAGAGTGGGGTAAGATGCCCAGGGTGGGAAAGACGCCCCACCCCCTCTAGCGGCGAAACAAAGAATCGGACCTGGAAATTTATGTTCTTAGCGTAAGGCGGAAGCCTGCCTTGTTAACTGCACACAAATTTGCGAAGCTCAGTTGGGCAACGGCTGGCTGATGATTGCATGTTTTTTATTTGCTGCTTTCAAAAAATATTTTGGTGTCAAAACATTGTAAATATCAAAGAAGGTAAATAATTTTTGCGTCCCTTGCTATAGTCGTGATACATTAGCATGCGTGTACTGTGTCCCAAACAGTTTGTTTCAGGGTGTAGTTTTATGGCTAACAAATTGTACTGATTTAATGTTACTTCGGTACCTTGGGGTAAGATGCCCCCTGTCCTGATGGGGAAAGACGCCCCCCTAAATCCGTAGGCTGTCCTTCAAACAGCCCGTCAAATCATTTATTACATTCTTGTGATGTAGACAAAAGCCGATCTGGGACTTTCCAGAGTCCAGTACGGTCGGGTGCTCCCCATGCCGGTCTCTTGGCCCACATAGCGACTATTTGGGCGGCATCTGACTCTGAGAGCCCTCACGACGGCCTCTGTGGGCCCCATTATTGGCTCCAGGGCCCCTCACGACATCCTTTGAGGGCTCCCACGTTGGCCCCACGGGCCGCGCTGGCATCGGAGGTCCCAACGATGGGCTCGAGGGCCCTCAAGCATCATGAAGACCTATAAGAGCCCCACAGTGGTCTCCGAACGCCACCACGGAGGCTTGTTTGGCCGCGCTGGACTATGATGGCCCTAACGATGACCTCTGAAGCCCCTTACGACTACTTTCAAGGGCCCTTATGATGACGTTTGGTGTCTACTGCAGGCTGGAATATCAAAGCGACTTTTTTGGCATTTTCATTTTCATACGGAAATTTCATACTGATTCGTTCAGGTGATTCACGTGCCCATTTATGTCATTTATAGTGCAGGGGGCATCTTTCCCAACGTCAGGGGGCGTCTTTCCCACCCTGTGGGGTAAGATGCCCCCTTTCACTTCTTCAGGAAAATGCTTAATAGCAAAAAAAGTTATAATATTTCAGGCACGAAAGTGTGATATTTATGGAGAAAAATGATGTCGGCTTCCGTTGAAACTCCAAGTTTTTGCTTTTCCATCGTCATTTTCGAATAATATATGACATAGCAAAACCCTGGGCATCTTTCCCCACTCTCCCCTATGTGATAGTACACCCACTGATAAACTACTGTAGAAAGTTGTAGGGCAATATTCTAAACAATGACTGAGTTATACGCGTTATAGCAAAATTTCACAAATGCAGATTTTTCGAATCCATTTTTTTCAATACGTTTTTGACATCATACAGTAATATAGGTACCTAAGTAACACAATCGTGTTTCTGAGCTCAAACTGCATCTGATAGACACCTTTTTGTTGAAAAATTTCAGTTTCAAAATTTGATGTTCTTTGACCTGAAAGTGACCTGACCTCAGCAAATTGCAGCTGAATAATGACCTCA